AAAAATCGGCGCGGGAAAAATAAGTAAATTCAGCAATTAGCTTACTTACTGTAAGTTAACTGTAGGAAAACATTATTGTATGCAAAGAATAGATAGTATAACAATAAAAATTTTATAAATGTATTATGTGTGTATTTTGACGTAAATTTAATTCGCCTACCAACATTTTACCACTTCAACAAGTTTTGTTTTGACCACCCAATTTCACAAAGACGTATATTAATGTTAAGGTCATATAAAAGGTAGAAGTAACCGCGTCTTTCAACTGTTTACACCAATCTAAAACCCATTTTCGTTATACTACGTATACGGATACTTCAGATTAAATACTAATATTGTCACATGATAGGATTTGAACAAGTGTAATCGTTTAATTAAATTGTAGCCAGCAAAATCTGCCACTATATTTTTATGGTGGATTCTCATTAAACGACGTTGTAGGCCTATAAAACCGAATCACCGTTTTGCTGTGTAGAATCGTGTACCACTAGTTGGTTTTATACGCATTTGTTCCACGTTTATATTCCTAATTCAAGTTTGTAACTGCCTACATAACGTCGAAATGAGTTTTAATATCTCTGATTTATGACTTGATTAATTCAATTCAAAATCCAAGCATTTTATTAGATGAATAAAGTTAATTATCTTTATCGTGTCCACAAATTTTTCGTGTAGCGTAGGTACATAATACAAATATAATATTACTACATTGAATTAGGTTATTGTAATGTTACATTTATTAGAGAAATGTTCGATTAATTGTGAATCGTATAAACTATATAGGCTACCTTTTGTATTGATTTTTATCGAATTTCTTAATTAAGTAGACATCAGAATTAGGAGGACACAGATTGTTTCAAACAAATTTAACGGGCCTCCTAAATAAGCCACTAAGTTAAATTACAAAGTGACCGAAATATTTTAGTAAGTTTTTAGAAATTAATTTTAGAAATACTCAAAAGAGTACGTTATCTTGAAATACATACTTTTAGCCTGAAGACTGAATTGTAGTTTGTATTGTTAAAACTGCCCCACATTCAACAATTCGTTCCAATGAGGTAAAAACATAACATAATGCCATATTTGTCTATGGTATTGTTAAAAAAACATTGTAACATCACGCTTGCATTGATTGGGTTACGCCATTTCATATAAAGTAAAGAAAGCATTAAAGGTTTCAAACTGTAAATTTATGAATAAGTAGAGGCAGGGTTGGTCTAAAATCCCATTCATCACAAAAAATGCCGTTTCCCATGTGATAATGAAATCACCCAGTGGTTCAAAACCCACTTGCCCACTCAAGGTATTCTTATTCAAATAAAAAAGATGTTTCTCTCATTTTGGGACAATTTTTCTACCGAGAACTACGGTACATCTCAAATCGAGGAAAAAGACATAAACTTTCAAATCCAGTAGAATCCAATTAGTATTCCAGACCGCTGTATTATTACGGCAATTACTTATAAATTTCAACTGCTTAAACAGTGCGTGATCATGTGATTAATTAAGTCTGCGGTTCCGTTCGACTTCGATAATCGTGACAGCGAAACTCGCATTTCTCGACGACTCCTCATCTACAGAGGAATAATTCGCTAATTTAGAGGTAGAATTAATTGTTATCATCGAGCTTTCTCGCTGGCAAACTGGGCTTGTAACCCAGAAACGCGCGGGAGAACGAACCCCGCCCACGGCGCATAATGAGGACCGGCGCACGTTTCCGAAACGGCGACGAATATTGGAATTGGGGTGAATTTTGATTGGATCTTCGGGAATTCATTTCTCTTGTGATATTTACTTCTTCTTTGGATTCCAAGGGATTTATGGACAAGTAGAACGGTGTTGAGGAAATGTTAACCAATTTTGTACTAGTCCGTATTTTGATACTTTTTACCAAGAGATTCGGGAAAAAGTTCAGCCATTTACTAGTCCGATAATTAATTATTGGAATTCGTAACACGGTAACCAGGACTCATAAGTTAAGCTCTAGGTCCACTTAGGGGGAAAGGAATACATACCTTAGATGAGGAAAATATTCACTACTTAAGAACTCTTCCCAGTTTCCTGAAGATGTGCAGAATCCCTTTATAAATTAAAATAGGCTCAAAAATAAGCACAAAATGGACTGAACATTAAAAAAAGTAACATGGGTGTTGTGGGTTGCCATACTGGTGACGAAATAACAACAAAATATAAACAGAAAATCAAAACAGATGAAAGAAATTCCAATCACATGTTTTATTTACAGCGTAGGGTGGATATTCATTAAAATAAGCAGTAGGCCTACGGTACATTTGAGATTATTATTGCTTCCCATGATCAATGAGAGGTGTATTTAAACAGTTTTACAGTATATTTAAAGAACCGCGTTACTATCCACTGAATTCTTATCCCGTTGCAAAGAGCGGACAGAGCAAACTAGTTTAAATTAAATCAACACTCAGATCGTTAGTATTCTTACTTAGAAAATTCCCAACTTATTTGCATGTTCTTTGAAAATATTCTTTTATACAATACTTAACTGACTGTGTCGTCGGTACCTAGAACGGTATTTTGCCTCGCCAACGAACTGCCTTCAGAATCCCGATCCGCTGTCTCCTCTTCTCTTCTTCTCAGTCTTAGGTCTTTTCTGATTTCGTATCTCCATCTCAGCTTTGGCCACCTACTCATGGACCTATTCTGATATCATTTTGACTAAGAAGTCTTCCTATTTCCATACTACAAGTCTATCTCATCCTACTGATTCTTACCTCATTGTTACTCTAGAAACAAACAAACAACATCCACGCTTAGCTATTTCCACACCAGTTGGGAAACTGTTTAATCAGTACGTTCAAACAAGATGGAACAGGTAACAATCAGGGGTGTTTACTGTCGCTGAGGGCAAAGGTCAGAGTGCCCGTCGTCCACCTGGGCACTACTCGGGCAGTAGAGCAAGGAGAGATTGCGACACTATTGTGTGTTCGCGTGCTGCGGTGGGCAACTGGGCATTACACGGCGAGCTGGGCATGCGGTTTGCCCATTAACTACTGCACTGCCACATTCACCGCATGCAGTGGTGTGGTCAAGAAAATATCCCATTCATCCACAGATTTTCTCTTTACGTTTTGACTCTAGTAATGGGGTAGCAAGTTGTTCATTTTTCAACAGTAACCTTTAATTAGTCGCCAAGTCTGGATTTGAAAGTCTATCATAAAAGTTTAAAGTTTAAAATGCTGTATTTCTAGCAAGTATGGGGTTTTTCAACAAAATCGGCCTAATAAGGGGGCGTGGCTCGTCTAATAGTGCGGCACTTATGTAATAAATAACTGAGTTCAAATCCACTTAGCCACCAATGACTTTTACTTGATTTTAGGCTTTAATTTCACTTATCCGACACACAAAAATTGACATTACTTTCAAGTGAACTTTCCATGTTTAGAGATCTCCCTTTTACTTAATAGGATCTTTTTATAGGGGATAAATGAGTGAGTATGGAAGGGATGGATAACTTTTGAATTTGATGTTAAGCTTTGTTAGATACCAAAAGTAGGTGATTCTATGGTCAGGATTATAAGGAAGGTCATTGCAAACTGGTTCATTGTAAAGATTTACTTCAGTGAAGTACAAAATGCAAACCGTTATTCCACGTTAAGTTACAGCGTGGTTTTCACAGGTATAATTTATCACCTATATTGAATTATAATTCTTTGTGCTGAAGAGGTATACAGTAAAAGATGGCCGCGCGTTTGCGAGAGCACTGTCCAACGTTTAGGATTCATTTATTTATTTATTTATTTCCCCAACGGATTGCACCTTTTTACAAAATGTGTGTATACAATATGAGATGGCATTTGCAATAGTACTAACTAGAAAAGTAATAACAATGGTAATAACAAAGTGATAATAAATAGTAATAGCAAGTAATAAGTTCATTGCAGCAATCCACTTTTGAGGCAATCAATACTAATTTTAAATTGAAAATTTCAACATCAAGTGCATTTTTGGTCTTAATTTTCGTCAGTTCAACGTCACAGTCACCTCCGAAGATCACGCCTTTGAGGCCAACTTTGACGGTGGAAGATTATCATGTTCATATTTTTGCTTTCAGGCTTAGGTGACGTTTTTAAGTTTACATATACGATATATTTCTTCTATTTTACAAACTTAAAAATTTCAAATTGATTTCAAAACTTACTAACCCAACCAAATTGAACGACAGCCTTTTCCCCTTAGCCTAAAAGTTAACCAAACAAAACTCTCCGCCACGAGATCGCTTACCGAAGATTACCTCAACAAAAACTATCTGTTTACATTTGTAACGTCTCAATTTAGCGTGAAACTGCGCGACGAGCGGCAAATTGAGCGTGTCAAGAGCTGGAGCGTGACGTCACGGAAGTGGCACGCCACGCCGAAAGGTCAAGCTTATGTCACACGTTGCGACGTGATGGTGGTGTGAGGCGTGACAGAAGTAGGCTGTGTGAATAATAACACTGGGTTGAATATCTTTGGAGTACTTTAAAACTTGTATTGTGTTGATTGGGGGCTTGTTTAGAGAGAATGGGTACTTCAATTCAAGACAGCAATACACATTATTGCTTGTACAATTGTTCTATACAGTTTTTACAAGCTAAATAACTAACTTCCAATCATGGTTTTGGTGGAAAAATTTTCTTAATTAACTATTCAATATGTTAATGCAAGTTTTTCATGAGTGGTTGAGGCAAAAAAGTATTTATTTATTTTTTTCCCCTATGATTTCTAGAACATCGTTTTTGTAGAAGTCATAGTGAATCTGTTTAGTTAAAATAGAAATAATAAATAAATAACGAAAATCAAATATTCATCTGTAGATTCTAGACATTAACACTCTTTAAAAAAATTTTGTCTAATAAAAGAGACGTTAAAAAATGTTGTTCCAATATCTCAAGCCGTTTCAATATGACGTTTTTTCAACTTGGTTAGTATATTTGATCAAATATTTGAACATAGCAGAATAACTAATCAATACTTGTTTGTTTCAGAGAGCAACAATGGGAGTAGTCAGGCCAGCAGTGACGGCTCTATTGCTGCTGGTGTCAGCGGTGCATCCTGAGGAAGACAGATGGAGCAAGCCAGCCACAGCGGAGCGACGTCAGGGCGACTGGGTGCCTCTGACTTGTGCCAACTGTCGCCCCGTGGACCAAGGAGCGCAGGGGTCCAACAGTCTGCCTAGTGTTCTCACCCCTCCACCACGAGTAGAGGAGGCCAGACTGCTGCCACCCCCTCCACCTCCTCCTGACGGACTGTTCCAGACAGCTGCCACAGGATTCTTGCAGCAATACACTCAGCAACAGCCCCCACCTCCTCCCAGGAAACCACTGCAGTTCTTGCAAGAGACATCTCCATCCATTAACAGACCGCAAGCTCAATTCTTAAAGTCCAATGGTCCTTTGAACCAAAAGGCTCAAGGCTTTTTGCAAGAACCCAGTTCCGAATTCCAGCCTCCACCTCAGTCGAACAGGCAGCCACAGTTGATCAATTTCAATCAGCAACTGCTTGCCGAACAACCTTACCTCAACCAGCCGTTGTTCCTTGGACCTCAGTTTGTAGCTGCTCCGTTCTTCCCACAGACAAGCATTCCTCCTCAGAATGTTCAACAGATAAACCCGGCTCAAGTTCAGCAGCAGAGTCCATTGTTGCCGAATGTACTTCCTGCCAACAACCAAAATTTCCAAGTAGCTGCTGATAGACCTGTATTTCTGCAACAAATAACTGCAGGAAATCCAGAAACTCCGACTGAGAATCAACAAGCTGTCAGTCAAACGCCGGCTCCTCAACTCCAATATTCGGTAAATGGCACTGACAGTCAAAAAGATGAAGGGGAAAGAGAAGAAGTCCAGCTATTGTATGTTCCAGTAGAGACACTCAACCAAAGGGCGAGAAATCTTGGTAAGCAAAAGTCACTAGCTTCAAACCAGGGTGTGGCTGCACAGACAGTAGGAGCAGAAAGCAATACATTCACTAGCCCTGGACAAAACTTTGCCTTTTCTACTAGGAAGCCCCATTTTGAAGATCAAAACAACTTCAATACACAATTTCATGCATCAAAACATCAACATGTAAAACAGCAGTTTCAACAGCAGCTTCCACCAGTCGACCAGGAAAAATTTAATAGCCAAATACACACTGTAAGGGAGCAGTTCAATGTTAACCAAGGGGACAAATTCTTGCAGCAATCATTGTCGAAAAATCAAGAAAACCTTAGGTTAGAAACTCAGAATACAAAGCAATTCAACCAACCAGCATCTCAGTTTCAGGCACAGTTTCAGCAAGATCAAATATTAAATCCACAGTTTAACACACATCAACAAAACTCACAGTTCCATCACCATCAAACTCACAATGTTGGTCAGCAGCAGCAGCAATTCCGAGCTCAGCAACAGCAACAACAACAACAACAACAACAACAACAACAACAACAACAACAACAACAACCACCACCACCAATAAATCAATTTGCCAGTTTTAACCAGGACGTTCAGCAAGATCAGGCCAATTTCAATGCACAACAATTGAATGGAAACCAGCAGCTGTCTGGACAGTTCCAAAACAACAACTTCCAACAGCAACCAGTTCAGCATCAACAAGAGGCGATTAACAGCCAAGGGCTGACAAGGCAGCAATTCAACCAGCAGTTCACTGATCAAAACCAACAGTTCCTTCAGCAACACTTACTACAAGTAAACCAGCAACCGCCATTGCCAGGAAAGGAACAGCATTATATCAATCAGCCAATTACATTGAATCCTGGTCAACCGCAGATTCAGCAATTTGCAACCCAGCAGGCTCAACCTCAAGCACAGTTTAATGTACCTGAATCTCAAACTGTTGCTCCTGCAGTTCAAACTAGACAGCCCATTACTCTTGCACCTGAACCAGTAACTCAAACAATACAGCCAGCAATTTCACAGCAATCAAAGACCCAGAGGTTTAGAAATCCTCAAGTTGAGGGCTCTAAAAACACACAGCGCGTACAAGACCATCAGCACCGCCGATTCCCAGAGGATTACCAAAAACAATCAGAGGATAGGGCTAAATTCGCCCAGGCATCTACAGTTGGGACGCAAAGTTCTAATGTTGAACTAAGACAAAACCAGCAACAATTCTGGTCCAACCAAAATCTCCCAAACAATAAATTTGAACACGAAATTTCATCTTTCCAGCCTGACCATCATTCAGTTTCAAGTGTGGCCCCACCTGCGTCAACATCACCACATCCACAGACCACACTAGCTCCTAACCAACCACCATTGTCAGTTTATATGGAAACTACTGAGAATACTAAAGTAAACGATGTTTTAAGATTGCTGAAAAATGCTAAATCAATTCAAGTCCTTGATACAATAGGGCCAGATTCTCCTCAGGTATTTGTTGGGCCATCTAATTTGAATGCACCTGCTGGTTACATTAAGTTTGAACTTCCTTACTTGAACTCGCTGGATAGTAACAGAGTAGAGAGAAAAGTAGACAAATTGCCATTTTTCGTGGCGCCTTTGAACTTTAACCCACCGCCTGGTTATTCTAAAATACCATTCCCAGCTCCTCACATAGGTTCCGTAGTTGTATCAAATGATACTGTATTGAGAACTGCTTTTCACGATAAACCTTTCTTCAACGAACCCGCACTAGCTTCAACATCAGAGAGGTACTCTGATCAGTACACCTTACCAGCTCAAATTTCTCCCATTAGCCCACAGTTACCGCCATTGATAAACTCCCTGCAAGACGAGATCTTCACTGGAACATCCACACCATCATATTCTTCAACAACTGATGAAGCTACTACATCGAACCCAGTAACTTATACAACCCCGTCTTACAGGGGTCGAGGTACCAGCCGGGGGTCTCAAAGAGGTTCATCAGCCTATACAACCTCAACCTCCCCGAGTAGAAGGCCACAGGCTCGTACAAGGCGGCCATATGATGGGCGACCTTACTCTCGACGTCAGCCTGTCACAACACCTTCTACAACTTTAGAGCCTTCGACAGAAACTCCAATCCAGCAGTACACTCCAAAGCCAGAGCTAGCCTTCAACAGTCAAGATTATTCAGTACAAAACACTGCTTCTCCCTTACAGACACAGTCTGTTAACAATCCTTCCACATTGCAGCCTGGCTTTACTGGCACATACTATAATGAACAATTTATTGCCAATGTGCCTACAGGAAATCAATTTTCTGGACAGGGTGGACAAAACATTCAGCAAGAGACAGTTGTCGACAATGGACAAAACTTTCAGCAATATCAGCAACAGCAAAACAGTTATAATGGTCAGATAACAGCAGAAACCACTGCAGTTCCCACAGCGGCTACATCTGAGGTGCAAGTAGATGATCAGAGTTTTAGGACTCAAAGGCCAACAGGGTCTAGAAAAGATTCCCTGAGACATCACCAGAGATTCAGAGGTAGACAACGACTTACCACTTCAACAACCACTGAGAACTATGAACAGCCCTCTGAACCTGCACAGAGCCACTTCACACAACACACAAGCAGTGGCATGGTTTACCAAAATGTACCAAATAGACACCATCTAAAAAATCATGATCAAAGTAGACTGGTTGAAAATACCCACTTCACAGCCAGTGTACCCCAACATGCTGTTCAAACCGAACGAGCTGATGTTGGAATACAGACCACAGAAAAAGTCTTCCCCGTTCAACATGAACAGCAATTCATTCAACAGCCAGTAGACAATGTGCAACTCAAATCTCAGATAAGTACACAATTTCAAAACCCAGCTGTATCTCTGGGAGACGATCAAGTCATAAACCAAGACAATCTACAACATCAATTCCAGTTGGCACAAGCACAATTTGCCCAACAAAACCAGAATATTCAGCAGTCAAATGTCAAAATCAATCCCCAAGTAAATGGATTTGATTACGTACCAGCAACACAGCAGAATGTTAAGTACGAAAATGACAACTTCCAACAAGAAAGATTCACACAAAATTCAAACCTTCAACTTGCTCAACAAGGAAATATAGGTCAATTTCAGTCGGAGAGACCAATTACGAACCCAGTTGAACAGACATATTTTGATCAACAAAACCAACAAGAAAGACAACCAACAATCCAAGATGTCCGTAATCAGTATCAATACATCAATGAACAAAATATTCCACCAACACACAGTCAACAAGAGGGAACAATAAATGGTGTTCAAAATCACCAGGCCGAACAAGCCTCAACGATTGGTCAGTTTGGACAGCATGTTACTGAAGTTAGTAACTCTTCTCCTCAGGAAACACCAATACAAACTCAACAACCTGAAACAGCAACATCCCAGGTAGATGATGCCAACAACGCTCAACATAACCAACAACGACTTGTAAAGTACAACAGGCCACATAGTAGAACCCAAGTAACAGGTGATTCCTCTCAGGCTGATGGACAAGCACCAAGAAGAGGTCAGTTCCATTACCAATCTGCGGACGATGTACCCAGCACATCCGAACCAGCTACAACTAGAGCATCACTGGTACGAGTGAGAGGGAGAGTGCGAAACAGGCAGCGGGCATCGACAAGAGTGACAACAACGACAGAAACACCAAACTACCCATCCACATACCTGAACAGACAGAGGAACACGGCTGAGAAGGAAGAAACACAAGAATATGTGCCAAAGAAACGTGTAACGTATAGCAACCGACAATCGGTCAGCTCCTTCAGACAGAACGTTAATAAGGAGGAAGACAACGAACAGAGCTTTACAGAACCAAACTATGCTAGCACTGACAGACAGTCGACTGCTGACAGGTATGTTGACAATACAGAGATTTCAACCACCACTACTGAAGCCACTACCAACAAACCAAGAAGGTACCAGCATATTCTCAACAGGAATAAGGTGCGACGTGTAAGGCCAACTAATACTCCATCAACTTCCGGGTCATATGGAACAACTAAATTTTTACTACCGACAACCACACCACCAGTCACCCGTCTCCCAGCCAGCAGGGGTAGGATAAGGAAGCCGGTGAACACCAAAACAACAACCACTACTGAGTATCCACAAGTAAACAATTGGAATGACAGAGATAATTTCGCTCCTTCTGCAGGAAGCAATGAGATTTTGGAACCTTTGTACCAAACAAAAGACAAAACTCAGCAGACCTTTGGTTTCCAGCGCACACCTGTAGCTCCACTAAAAACTACTCCGAAGCCACAACCAGTAGCTGAAGAAGATGATGACTACTGGAGCCAAGCTGTTACGATCCAACAGAGTACGAGTTTTGACTTTAAACCAGAAGGGTCTCCAGTAACACCACCGTCGTTCCAAGAAAACCGAGGTCAAGGAACATTCGCTCCCATCTGGAATGGGCAGATTGAACTTCAAGACGGGAATTACTATGATATTTTCAGCCAGCAACAAATAGCAAAGAACGCTCAGGACCAAACACCGTTTTCATCTGATCACCAGAAAATAGTGTACACTGATATCAAAAGTAGGATTCCGATAGGCAAAGAAAACCAATACAGTGAAAAAAGCGAAGTACAAAAGCAAAATGCAGAAGAAAATTTAGAAGAAGAAAAAGTATATCCTGTTTATAGGGAGGTTGTTAAGCCAGCCGAGACACTACAGGAAGAGACTTCACAAGTTGTGGCTGACGTTTACGAAGGTGAAAGGAAAGCAGTTCATGAAAAAGACGCCTCAGACCTGTCTGAAAACAATGATGAAAGGAAAGTTCAGTACGAAGAGTCAGCCAGTTTTGAACCTGAACATGAAATAAAAGAAGGAGCCCTCAAGCGGAAAATTATTGCAACTCACCCAGGCAAAAAGGTAAGAGATTTTAGCACTGTAACAGACTTTTAGGAAATATACTGGATTAAAGTAGGCCTACACTATTATAATTTTAATTGTCTTTCATATAAAAAAATAAACTTATCAAAGAGAACTACACTTTTTTTGGATCCTAACTTTTGTAGAAATTAATCTCCATTGCTATAGTTAAGTTTATTTTATAAAAAAAATTGGTTGGTCAAGAAACTGGCCATAGAGTGCATAAACCTCACCATTTTTCTATTTACAGTTTTTTGGGCTCAAATTTCAAATATACCCTTATTAACCTGAAAAATATGAGTGTACATGGTCAGAATAGTTCATGCAAAAACAGAAAATTATTTAAATAAAAGAAAATACATAAACGCAAAGCCGACAGCAGATTCAAAGAATTTAAATTTCCTAATCAAATCAAATCATATCATTTGTCTTTTGGATTTTTACAAATCATTGACAAAGTCATCACATCAGCCTATGTATAGGCCTACGTCATATACATACATACTACACATCTACAATAGTATAGGATTAAGTATCTAGAGGATGTAAAAATTAAAATGATAAATTAACTTAACTTTTTTTTCTTTTACGCTATCTTTAATAAAACATAAAAACATTTGAGAGCTTAGTAAATTTCTTAAAATGAAGGGAAAAAAATAAAAAAAAATAATGAAATAATATTAATTAGGAATAGTTAAATTCCAACAACAGTAATTAAATGCAAACAAAAATTTGTTCAAGTTTTTTTTTGTCAAGAAATCAAAGAAGTTAGACAAATTTGTGTAAATCATTTAAGAAACTAAATTTTAAATACCTCTAAAAATCTCACGTAAAATACAATATAATAATATTAAAAGATAATAGTAATAACATAAATAATAATAATAATAATAAAATAAAATAAGTGCAAAGATTACATTATGTTAAAATTTGATTTTACCAATTTTTAAAAAGTCATCTAATATATAAAATGGGTTATCTAGTAACCAATTATATCTAGTAATTTATGTAAGTTATCTAGTAACCAATCCTACCTACATAAAACAATTTTTACTAACTAATTAAAATATGTTAGTCATTTCTGATTTGCATTACTAGACAATAGTGTACTGCCAAGCTAGAATATTTCATTTATCCTCGTGATTTGCAGCGAATTAACTTTAATTTTGTATTTCTTAAGAGCCTAATCTTCATATATTTTGATAACTTACTCATATGTATCAGTTATGTGAGATACTCATGTAGAACCACAAGTGCTGCCTTGAACTCATACTAGACATAGTTGGTTTGAGACTGTATTAGTTATATTAGAGTTCCCTTGTTTAGGTTCATTAATTTACTAAGCTACAGTATACTCTATTGTGCTCTAGGGAGGCCGCAGACGTGGTAGCTGGGTGAGAGTGCGAGTCCGCAAGCCGCAAGACATGTTCGAGACAGCCGAGTCACAAAACCTGGCCAGCCTATCAGAGAACGCTATCCAATCAGTGTCGAAGACGGTCGGTGAGAAAGCAGCATGGACACCAGAGCCTGAACCGGTCACCGAAGCTCCACAAACAACTGTCATCTCGGAGGTGGCTGAGGAGCCTGTTGAAACCATCAACTTTGAGGACGCCCTCAAGAACATGCTGAAAGAGTTCATCACAAACCCCGAGGAAGAAAAGGAAGATGGAGAAATCGTTAAAGAGAACACAAACTCCACTTCTGTAGAGTCTGAAGAATCGAAACTGGTAGAAAACAGTTCAAGTGCTGACAGTGATGTGAAGACAGGTGAGGTGGAAAATGATGGATCCAAAACCAAAGAGCAAGAAGAAAACGCTGATTCTGAGAGGTCAGAACAGAATAAAGACGAAGTAAAAACCGTTCTTCCTGAGGTAACGACTGAGGTATTTACTCAGGAACCGACGACGATTTTCCAACCAGTTGAAAACGCCGAGACCACAATAGAACCCGAAGTAACGACTTCTAACGACCAAGCACCAAAACCTAGGGTTTTAGGTACATCAACGACTACACAGATCTCCTTAGAAACAGAAATCTGCTACAGGGGTCGCTGTGTGAAGACAAAAAAAGGCGAAGCTGACAGTGACTTGTTAACAATGGAATAACATGTATCGAGGCCAAAAAGATTAGTCACAACTATTTGTAAAAAGTGATGACATGGACACAAACTAGTGCGATTGTTGATGTAAAAATTATTTATTGTAAGATGAAGATATTTCAGTCGTGTGCTACATGTTGAATGTAAAGTGTACCATAGAACCCACAAGATTTCAACTTACTTTTCTGGACATGACTGATTGTATTATAAGCTCAAGTGTTAGTGTTATTATTTATGTTTAACAAATTAAGATATAGCTTTAGTTATTCGATTGTAATGATATTCAAGACAAGTGTACTGAATATGTGTAAAATAAAGTGATAATTTGTATAAAATTAAACTAAAGAGTTATCACTCTGATATTCCTTTAAGTTTTGATTTGTTATTCAAAATTTATTCAAAATCTTAAACTTTCTTACCGGAGCTTCATATGTTTGTTATTGTGGTTTATAATAAATAATACTTTTTGTGTACAGACTAAATAAAGTACTACAAGCTCATACAAAATAAGGCATGACATGTTTCATCTATATATTAATTTGAAACTGTTTTTCTTTGTCATAGCTATTTTGAGAGAACGGCTGGGTGTAGAAACTCGGTAGAGGTGTCTAAAGAAAGGTCTTGGTCTGTAGATGAGCCATCAAAAGAGAAACATGGTGAATTCCCTTGGGGCTCTGCCCCAGTGGCCTTTAAATTCCCATCCCATGTTATTCTTATGGAGGAAAACGGGGTTTTTGTCACAGCTAATTTGAGAGAACGGCTGGGCGTAGAAACTTGGAAGGGGTCTCTAAAGAAAGGTCTTGGTCTGTAGATGAGCCATCAAAAGACGAATGAGGTAAATTACCTTGGGGCTCTGCCCCAGAAGCCTTTAAAGTTGCCTCTTCAGATTTGTTTACATTACGACCATATGCATAATTCTACACTACTTTTTAATGAAACAGCTGTTAATATTTAAATTGTGATTTGTTGAATTTTTCAAAATGAAGTACAGTATTTGCAATGGGTTTTTCTGATTTTAAATTGGATTTTCTTCTGCATCGTGTCATGTTTTGCAATATAGTCTAATGTTCTATTACCAAATCAGTGAAAAATCCTAATATCACAGTAACTGTTAAAATTATTTCTTTTGGAGTTAACTTATAGCTATTGTATGGGTTGGTTTCTGCCTTTTTTACAACTTCTTGGAGATTGTACGTAGGTGATATTTGTTGGCATATTGCATCTGTAGACGAAACTTGGGTTGGTGTAATTATTACAATGGAAAAGAGCGAGAAATCCTGGACAATTTGATATAGGCAAAAAAAAAACTGAATTAACACTGTTCTACATTTCTTGAGCAATCATTGAAATAATCGATTTGCAAACAATGGAATCATAGAAAAAGTCATAGAACACAACCAAGTAGAAGAAATAGAAATAATTTATTTTTCATTTATAATCGTTGTCATAGACAACCTAATGCGGCTATAAGAGGGAAAAATTTGTAGAAAACACTAAAAAAACAAGATAAGCTTTTTGAAAAAAGATATTTACAAAAGATTTTGTTTATATCTAACTGTTGTGTAGATCGTGAGTATTTCCATAAGCTTTGAGTCGCCTGTAATGCTTCACAATTGCTCGAATTCGAGCAACAGGTACACTAGTATATTTAAATTGGAAAACTGTATTTAATAAAATAACAGCAATGTTATCAAACTTCACTGTTGCTAAAATGTCAACTAACATATTTATAACAAGTAAGAAAGACAAAATTTAAATATTAATAATAAAAATCTACCATTATTTAAAGCACACACAGGTTTATAATTGTGATAGATTCCACACAAAAGGATTAATTCAACTGTGCAAGCCTTTTTCCATCCAATAAAAGAGTGAAGAAAGAATAGGTCAAGCCACACTTTTAATTCAACATTGTTAAAAGCCCGTCACTTTGTCCCACTGCTTTTATTTTCCCTCTAACAATTCAATTTGAATACTGTTACAATGTTCACTGCACAGTTAAACAAAAAGTGATTATGTTTCAATTTATACCTCATGGATTACATCATCAAACTAAATGGTAATAGAATTGCTTTGTTAAACTTGTTTTCAAATGCCAAATCATGCAAACTTTATTGAAAAATGTAAAGAGGAAAGTTTAATTAGTGATAGATAAAGAGTTTCAGTCAACTTATCACACAGACTAACTAAGATTTATACTTATTTCTTTGTTTCAAGGAAACAGAAATAGGGAATTAAATTAAGGAAGTGTGTGTATTTTTGTTTTCTCCCCTTGTCAAGCACTCTCATATTAATAGACAATAGTGTACTGTCAAGCTAGAATATTTCAACTAAATGTAATCTTAATGTAATCTTGGTAACATATGAATTCATGTTAGCCAAATTGAGAGTGAATTACTGTGGGTTAACAGTAGCTAACTTGAAAAAATCCAACAGTTATATATTTCCCAAATTTTATACACTTCTAAAGTTCGAAATACATGAACTTCAATTAGTTTCCCTTAGTTTAACAGCAAATCTCAAAATGGCAGAGAATTTTGGTAAAAAAAAGTGCAACAATATGCAACCATCTGTGGTAACCATATTTTATTCTTAGATGAATACAGTATAATTCTTGTGATGTCAAATATCTGTGTACAGTTTGAATGTAACCTTCTTACTTAACCCACTTGTCATCGTGACTTCACTCTACCGTCTGCGTATATCTGCTGCAGTGTACCGATCCCTAGTATGGTTACACTCAATGAACCGAGGTGTTCACCATCCACGCTGTAGACAGGAACTTGTGAACTAACCAAATCTTGGCCTCTTTTTATCATTTCTTCATTTAGATTAACGTCTGCATGCCTAAACAAACATATTATAATGTTACAAGAAGCCATTATAAATTAGTTTAGGTTAACCCAGATAAGAACCTAAGTCACGTTCATTATCAAGAACACAGGCAAAAAAGGTAAAAATCTAATATTAATACAAAACTTTCATGTTTGGTTTTACTTTTTAGCGAGTTTTGGTTTTGAAAATCATTAAAAGTAGGAAGATTTGTGATTTAGACTAAGTGTGCAGTATTATCAACAGGGATGGTAATAAGTATTTTTTAAGAAGGCCTGCTGTGGTTTTACTTTCATTTTTAAAAAACTATGAACAGTATTAACAGTAAAAAAGTGTGGATAAACTTAATGTAAAATAAAACGATCAGTTTGAAACAAATTCCTAATTCACATACAGGCTTTTAGTAATAATGTTTGAATGAAAAATGTATAACTTCAATGGTTTAAACTTTTATAAATGTCACCATATGTTTATTTTCAATATTTTATTTTATTTTGACCCATCCAATAGATTTTCATAATAATATCAAAGCACTTTTTCCATTATGGCAGGGGATGTTCGATCTACAAATCTATACTTGTCAGTAAAAACAACCATTAAGTTTTTATATATTTCCAATTAAGATGTTTATTTTTTACCCAAATATGAGTGAAGGATGAGTGAGGAATTAAGTGAGTTTCCTTGTGGAGCTTTGTTACTTTACTTAGTAAGATCAGCTTTTTGTTAGCCAGGAGTCAGGACCAATTATTAAAAGCCTAATAATTAAGGACAGCTAGATTAACTGAATGAATGAATGATGAATGAATGAATTTATTCCACCACATATATACAATTACACAACCAAATATACAAAAAAAAAAGAAAAAGAGTTTTATGCAAAACTAAACTAATTAACTGTAACTAATTACCTATATACATGTGTCAAGGGTTGTTCCTAATCCAGTAAATATATTTAACAATCCAGATCAAGCTAATCATGTATTTTTATGTACCAAAATGGTTGTGAAAAAGCTGTCTTCCTTCACAATAAAATCCTTAATTGAGACCTTCATTAATCTGCTCACATTAGAACCCCAATTAGTCTAGAATGCAGAGATTTTACAGAGAGAAAAAAGCGGCCCTAAAACGTAACCTTGATGGACTCCTTGTATTCCCTACTCACCCCATTGTCTCCACCTCCGTGTCCGCAGTCAAGCTGCAAGGTTCGGCGCACACTGTGAACCTCAGTAGCTTGGGATCTCTGTCTTCCAGCATCGCCTTCAAGTGAGGTGCATTCTCATCATTCACTCTCAGTTCTGTAATACACAGTTTGTTTTATTTCCTCCTTTACCATTGCTAAAATCACTTGTGGTTTGACCATCAATGATTTATTTCATAACTAACAGTGTATTCAGGGTAAAAACGTATCACATAACTGGGTCTTAAAAGAACTCCTACTATCCGAATCAATTGAGACTGGACTACATTCAGATAGTCAAAGAATCAGATAGTTGGATTTTTAACTGTCCAATCAATTGGGACGAGATTCTATATGATATCTGATATGAAATATGATTTTCTGTTACTGCGAGAGATGATGACGATGTCCATAATAACACTGAAGATGTTAAAGATTTTGCCGTGAATGCAAAAACGATCACCATGTTTCCATGACCGCAGGAGACGATGATGTCTGCACGACTATGGAATGTATCTAAAATTTTTCTACGAGCACAAAAGATGGTGTTTCTGATGAGGATGTCTACACTATTGGGAGGGAGGTTTTGGTTTTGGCCACAAATAGCAGCTTCTGCCTTCTTTAATGATGTCCTAATACTGCAGTTTTTAGTTTTTTAATTATTTCTTTAAGTAATTCAAATTTTTGGTGATTCAAGTAGTAGGAGTTCTAATATAGGAACGGAGCATTGCTAATAGCCAACTGACTAAGGAAAGTTGAAGTTGACTATAAAAAAAAGGACTATGGACTAAGTAAGCCTCACTTATGGCATTAGATTCTTTAAGTTTTTTTCTCTTTTATTGACCACCATAAAACAATTATTTTTGTATCAAACCAGTCACAATGAAACTGGCGCATATAAACCAAAAATTTGTGTACTTCAATTTGTACTTTGATGAGAGTAGGATTGGTGAAATAATAGACACATATCCTAAAACCTAACTACTTAACTCCTTGTGATGACAATTTCATAGTACTCCACTCAACAACAGTACCTGGGGACCGAGCTTTGCTCGGGGAAAATCATTAGTCCACTCTGAAAGCAGTCTTAGTACTGTATTGGAGACATATAGATCCATTCCCAAACTCCACACGGCTCGCCTTTACTACGTCCTACACCATTTCCTACGTCATGGACCTGTTTCCCTCTATTTCCATAGCACTTAGGGATTGTAGATACCTTAATCTAATCGTTATTAACAGTTCCCACACTCCGGACAGCTCGTCTTTACTACGTCCTACACCATTTCCTACGTCATTGACCTGTTTCCCTCCCTTCCCAAAGCATTTCAGAATTGCAGATACCTTAATCTAATCGTCATAAACAGTTCCCACACTACGGACAGCTCGCCTTGACTACTTCCTTCGCCACTTCCTACGTCGCGGACCTGTTTTCCTCCCTTCCCATAGCATTTTAGGATTATAGATACCTTAATCTAATCGTCATAAACAGTTCCCACACTCCGGACAGCTCGCCTTTGACTACATCCTTCACCACTTCCTACGTCGCGGACCTGTTTTCCTCCTTTCCCATAGCATTTTAGGATTGTAGAAACCTTAATCTAATCGTCATAAACAGTTCCCACACTCCGGACAGCTCGCCTTGACTACTTCCTTCACCACTTCCTACGTCACGGACCTGTTTCCCTCCCTTCCCATAGTATTTTAGGATTGCCCATACCTTTATCTAATCGTCATAAACAGTTACCACACTCCGGACTACTCGCCTTGACTACTTCCTTCACCACTTCCTACGTCACGGACCTGTTTCCCTCCCTTCCCATAGCATTTTAGGATTGCCCATACCTTTATCTAATCGTCATAAACAGTTACCACACTCCGGACTACTCGCCTTGACTACTTCCTTCACCACTTCCTACGTCGCGGACCTGTTTCCCTCCCTTCCCATAGCATTTTAGGATTGCAGATAACCTGATCTTATCGTAATAAACAGTCCCCACACTCCGGACTGCTCGCCTTTACTACTTCCTTCATCACTTCCTACGTCACGGACCTGTTTCCCTCCCTTCCCATAGCTATTTAGGATTGCCCATACCCTTATCTAATCGTCATGAACAGTTCCCACGCTCCGGACTACTCGCCTTGACTACTTCCTTCACCACTTCCTACGTCACGGACCTGTTTCCCTCCCTTCCCATAGCATTTTAGGATTGCCCATACCCTTATCTAATCGTCATAAACAGTTCCCACACTCCGGACAGCTCGCCTTGACTACTTCCTTCACCACTTCCTACGTCACGGACCTGTTTCCCTCCCTTCCCATAGCATTTTAGGATTGCCCATACCCTTATCTAATCGTCATAAACAGATCCCAGACTTCTCACTGCTACCCTTGACTACAATGTATCGAGTAATCTTCAGTATAATCTTTGCTAAATGATGTTTTTCCTTTTGTACTGTATTTGTAATTTGCTAGTATACTGTGGGTAGTTGGCTTATTATGAACACATGCTACAACTTCAAGTCTTTTGTTTACTTTTTCCTTGTTATTTAATTCAGCCAACAAGGTTACCTAGCAACCCATAAGACTAATGTTAAAAAAATGTGATTTTCAGTTTAATTTTTCTACGTAATTAGATTTTTGTTGGCAGTTCTAACTGCAGTAAACTCGTTTTTAGGCTAGAATTAAACTATTTACAACATTTGAAGAAAATCGTCGGAACCGTTTTCGAGATCTTTGTGCAAGCAAGCATACATACATACATACATACAAGCAAACATTGCTCGTATTAGAGTATAGGATAACGATGTTTTTTTCCGGGAGTTTGTTAGTTTTTACAATGTTCACTAACAGCAAATGTAAAACTCAGAGTGCCACTTACTCTTACTGTGTTTGAACTTCATGACTTCACCCCTGGGAATACTGTCAGTCTCCAGATCTGGACCACAGTGACCTGAAAGCAACAATTACATTAAAATATTACATTTATCGCATCAAATGTTTAAAGAAGGAAACATATGATTGATATAATAATTATTTCTGCTGTGATGTGAATTTTTAGGTCCGCCATTGTCAAGAGTAGTCTTTGAAACGTCCCACAAATTTCTCTTAAAATTAAAAATCTCCCTAATTTTTTTACTGTTCAAAACCAATAGACGCCATGAACATCAGATGGTCTTCTCGTTTACTGTCTTCTCTGAATTCCCTACTTGAGAAGAACAGATTTTTTACAGCTGTATATCTTTACCCATAAAAATATAACAACCAGTGAGGACTTTAAACAGGGTTGTACCCTTTAAAGGAAAATAAACTAATCACATTATAAAATTCAAACTTGGTAAGAGTGTCAAATTTTCTTGCCATCATTAACGGCTACCACGACAATGCTGAGAGTAGCATACAGCTGGTGACCTATCAGCTTAGTGATAGGAGGAAGTCAAGCACACACAGTTGGAATCAGATTTAAACAAGCTCTCTTGCAAAGGGATCTCAATTAAAACTCAATTCATGGACAATCATCATAACATTGCATATACCAAAACAGCTAGCAATAGTAATTGACAAAATCACTCACCCAAAAGAGCGTACTCGATGTAAATATGAGTTGCATGATCAGGCACAACCCCACCGTCTCTATTCTTGAGGTACAAAGTTCCAATGGCAACTTCTAGCTGGTCCCTGAACTGAGAAACACTTTGTCAGAATGCATTTGAATTGTAAATTCTGTGCCAAAGTTAGAGTACAAAATCAACAGAGTCAACACAAATGAAAGTAAAAGTATGTTCCTGCTACTGAGGGCATTGAGGGATTACAAATTTATTCCATGAAAAATATATAATTTATTGTATTTTAACCATTTTACTTTTAATTAACTCAACAAAGACTTCACAGCAATTCCTACGATTGTTCTACGTCTTAATGTTTTAATATGATCCAAAACAGTAAATAGACAAATCTACACTGCAAAACATCTTTGTAGTGCCTCTTGAAAGACAACCTGATTCCCATTAACAGTATTGATCCATTTCACATCAAAGTAACAATCTCTACTTACTGGTGGGTCGCCAACACAGCACTCATGAAGAATGAATGAACAATTGACGGTTGCCATAGCCTGAAAGTAATGAGACAAGTGCATAAGTTTCATGGGAGCCAATATGTAAACATTACATTACAAACTAACACAATCTAGCTCACTGTTACCGACTGTTAGGCATATTTCTGTTGACCGATTGTTGGTATTTGTTCCAAATGTTAAGTTGTGTATTGTGTTTTGGTTTATTTGTGTTGAAATCACACAATCTCTGGGAAGTTCCACCTTTGGAGTTTCACGCGGAGTAGTCGCTCGAGTCAAACTGGCCTAGAGCTGCAAGTAACCTAAATCCGGCTCTGATTTAAGGATCAATATTTTTAAGTTGTGCTTTTGTGTTGTGTTTTGGTTTATTTCTGTGGGAATCACTTGAGGACATTGAAGGCAGTGCCTGATTTACCACTAGGCCAACTAAGCCACAGCATATTATACAAAAACATTTTTTTTAACATTGATTTTTTTTTTTTTTTTTATTTGTTGTGACTAGTAATGAATGATGATATCCTCTTGATCTTGAGAGATGTTCACAATCCCTCCTCAATCTCTGGGAGGTTCCACCTTTGGAGTTTCACAAGGATCAATTTGGCCTAGAGCCGCAAGTAACCTAAATTCGGCTCTGATTTAATGATAAATATTTTTCAAGCCCTGATGGATATGTGTGATCCTTAACGGAAGCCAAATCCCAAGTCATTAACTACAAAGCCAACTGCCAAGTCATATTAATTTCATTAATTCTATCATAAGTACTACAAAACCATAACTTTTAAGTTGTGAAGTCTCAAAAGCAACGTTAACTGACCCTGTCTGTTGCGTAGCGGCTAGGTAGGTCTTTCCCTCGGAGAAACACACTGCGTATGAAGCATCTGTTGGGCTGCTCCATGGCTTGCAGCATGTCCAGCGTGCCTTCAGCCACCTTCACAGGATGCCCTGAGGATCTTACCAGGTACAGGTCTATTGGCATCTCTACCTACAGACAAGGTCAACATTGTGAACGTGTTGAGTGTAATACAATCTGAGTAGGAATGTTCAAACCCTTAAAATTTGGAAAATAATTTTTGTTTTCCTGACAGCATTTAAATGGTTTTTCAATACATAAAACTTCATGATGCTCACAATTTATTGCTGATTGTATACATTGTTTTTTTTTTAATTGGTTATTTTTCTCGAGCATTTAAAATATACTCGTAAGAGGTTTTTCTGTTCCCTGTTTCTTACGTAGCTAATCTCTTACACACCTTGCTAAAATTTAAAAAAATATTTTATACAACAACTTTCAAAACAGTTATTCCTTCTATTATCATGACATACCTTATTTAGGTAGTGCTTGATCTCAGAGCTGAGGGGGCCGAAGTACATCACGTTGGTGTAGAAGAGAGCCCGTTCCGCTGGCAGTGGCGCTGTCCTCTGATCTAACCCGACGAAACTCCACTCTACATACACCTTGGGCTCTGGCTGTATGCTTCTGTATGTTATAAAACAGAAACATTAATTTAACCATACAAATCACTTTTATAGTTACACTGGAGATAGATGTACACAAGATATATATTTTATTTATAGGTTTAAGGTGTGTTCCTTTTACTGACGATAAAGGTACGTTGTCTTTTTTTAGACAATTAATAGAGTTACTGGTAGTTTTGTAGACCATTTTAAAGTGACTCAAAAAAAAATGCACCAACTGAAACAATGAATCACTGAAACTCTAATAAAACATTCAGTTTGTAAATGTCATGAAAAATTTGTTCTAATCATGAAACATGGCTGCACAATTATAAAGTATTACAAAATGAATCTTGAAATTTGATTAATCTATGCATAAGCCGTGTTGTCATTCCATTAAAAGTGTAAATTACCATTTGCTAATCATGACCTTTCTAGCATCAAATAGTGTTTTGTTTGGCAAGGTTGCGTATTTTTTAGAAAGTTTTAAGTCAATAGTGAACAGTTTTAGTAGTGAATGATGCAGCCCATGACAGGGAAACTGCAGGAAGGCACCTGTTCTTGTTCCCAACCATTCAGCCAAACTGTAAACTGAAGTTTGCCCTACCCAGTAGAGCGTGGGACTTCAGTCACTGTGGTCCTCAGGTTCAAATCTCACCATTCACCAACAGATTGCAGCTATTTATTACGACACAACCCTCTACACACAGCCCAAAGTAATGTGTACAATGGTTCGAAATAGCCTAGTGTTTTAGGGTGTAAGGGAAAATTAAAAAATATATAAATCTCCATAGCTACTTTAACTTACGACAGATACTCCATCATCCTATTGTCAATGTCCAAGTCGAACATGCAGATCTCCAATTTACAGTTGAGTGATTGTCTGTCGTCTGCCGGCTCCATTACTTCCACTTCTGTCGTATACTTCTTCTTCTGCATCAGCACCGTTTCAAAATCGTGTTTTGAGACGATCACCAAGTTTGCCCGCTGGGCCGGATCGTTTATGTCCACCGTCTTCACACAATGTTCCGAGGGTGGTGGCGAAACATGGGAAACGTACGGTTGTCGTCCCTGATCAAAAAAACCACATAAGACATCTTCTCTATCTTGGTAGTTAAGAAGCGCTCTTTTTGCTCTGTCAGACTCACTGAGTGATAGTCTTTGTTTTTTTTCTCTGTCCGAGTGCAAATCGTAATTAACAACAGACATTTCGAGAGACAATGACTTCTGTTGACGTAACTTGTGTTTGCTGGCATACGATGGGTGCATTGACGGATCGGTCAGATTGATAACCTCTGGCTTTGGCTTTAACGATGCCATCTACAACCACATTCTTGTCTTACAATATAGTCCTACAGGTAATTTTATCTTCAAAAATAAAAGTTTGACTACTGTAAGAACTCTCAAATGAAGAAAACTGCTTTAAATTTAGAAAATTATCTGTATTATACTAATTTAATTTAGGATTGTATGGGTTTAAGCGTTCCTCCTCCAATACAGGGTGACACAATGGAACCGGACGTTTTTTAAATAAGTAGTACACGGTAGTTAAAAGGAATAAAATGGTTTTAATAAGGTATATATTGAGGTAAACATTTGCCATTTGTTACAAAACAGTCATTTTTTGAAAATGACGTCATGCATATGGTGGTTATGTACTTCTCTACAAATGTTCATTCTGGTCTGAAAATCATCTGAAACTCGGGTCAGGAGGTCTTGTTCAATGCCATTGATATCTTCTGTGATTTCTAACTTCAAATCCTCTAGAGTGTGTGGTTTGTGAGCATAAACACGCTCCTTAAAATACCCCCAAAGGAAGTAATCACTAGTGGACAAGTCAGGGGGCCACGGTATGTCACCAAATCGAGAAATCGCCTTGTTAGGAAACATTTGCCTCAAGACTCATTGATTGGTCTGCAGTGTTGGCTGTAGCACCGTCCTGTTGAAAATAACCCGTTCTTCCTGCACTAACTGTATTTTATAAGGATGAAACTTAAGATCTTTCCAAAGAATTCCCCTTACCGATTCACAGTTCATGTTCAACTCTTGAGCATGTTTTCACGCAGACCTGCTTGGACTCCTTATCAATGCTGCTCTCACTCTAGCGATGTTTTCGGGTGTTCTAGAAGTTCTACCAAGGCCTGGTGGTTTCTTTCTAGTTATATTCCCAGTTGTTCGGAACCCAGAAACCCATCTTAATAGCGTATTTAGGCTTGGATAAGTTCCATGGCGTTCAATATTAATATGATGACGGAATTCCAGCTGGTTTTTGACGACGGATTCACCATTTTTGACAAAAGTATCGTATGCGAAAACGCTATGGTCTAGGGTCCATTGAGCCATTTCAAAAAAATGGCAAGCCTCACTGAAGGTAATGACATAACCTCAATCTTCCTACCACGTGCGACAACAATGGAACAGCTGTTTAAAAAACGTCCGGTTCCTTTGTGTCACCCTGTATTATAGGTACTGTTTTCATTATTCTCTAAGTTATTTTCATTTTCAATCCTCTACTTTGGAAGTGTTTCAACACTAGAAAATTTTATGACCAAACCTTTAAAATAATACATATAAAATCTAACATATTTACGTAGCAGTTATAGCAATATTTTGGCTTTTACTTAGAAAAATCAAAAAACATGCATTGAATTTTACTGCAGACGCAAAATGCAAATATAAATGTTTTATAAGTAGTTACCATTAAATATAAAGATTTATCAATCAATATAAGCTACAATAGTTTTCTACAATACATGCAAAACTCAAATAAAAGACATAACTCAAAGCGGTACCCTTTAATCAGAAGAGGCAATATAGTTAAAAACTTATAGATATTGATACATACATTATGTGTGAAAAATACAGAACAATACTTTATTCAGAATTTCCACAAACAATATTATAACAAAAAAACTGGAAATATAGAGTTGACATTGTTATGTCAAAAATAAGAAGCACATTCCCTGCTTGGCTGAGACGGGAGTTCAATGAATGCCTTGAGTAATGGAAAACCTTCCCCCCCCCCTTGCATTAAAATGGGGGAAATATACTAAACCAACCCTTAATTTTTACCAGAGTATCTTTTTATCTGAATTAAAAATCTTACCATAGCCTAGGCTTAACACAATTTCCCTTTAACTGTGTTATAACACAATACCGAGAGTTGCGTGCAAAAATGTTCATTGAAGTAACAATCTGAAAGAAGCAGGTTGTGCCAAAGATAAATGCCAATATTTTTGTGTGGATAAAAGTAACATGCTTTATAATTTATTGTGTTTTTACCTGAGTGAAATAGCAATTGTTCTTTTGATGATTTTTTACTTGCTAATGATCTATTTTAATCTTCTTAAAAGTCATCCTAGAAATAAAACGTTATCAAGATGTTGCATTCATATTTTTATTCAGTAAAAACAAGCATCTTAATGCTATAAAAAAATTAGTAGTCATTTCACAAAATTTTTCAGATAGAGCAAGCATAAACAATGTGACTAGAATATTATTTATCTTAGTACCCACATAAGGTAAATTTGTAAAAATTAAATATACTCTATTATTATTCTTAAAAAAACTGGGAAGTGGGTGTTCACAGTATGAAGGTTATAGTTTCTGAGATTTCATGCGAGTATCTAAGCTCAATATCTTGTTCCAAGTTTCCTATGTTTTTGAATAATTGAGAAGACATAGAGCCTGAAAATATAGAGAATTTGATCTGTGGAATATGGTTTTCTACCTTATATTAACTATATGGTTTTCATTATCTTATAAACTAAACAGAGAAATTTATGTTGGCTGCTAATCAAGACAAAGATATTGAGCGGAAAAGCAAGAGCTTCAAAAGTGGACACATCTCCTTGCCTATAAAAATGATTCCAAATTTCTATTTGAGAATGAATTTTGATTAATTCTTCATGTGGAGATGACTAGAATAGACTCTAAAACCAAAAAAGCAATATTAAACCTCAGTTTTTTTCTCTTACTAGGATCAGTGCTACAAACCTCATCTTCTTTGGCTGGCAGTGATGATAAAGTAAGAGTCGAGGATCGCAACGGAGGTCTAGCTCGCCTTCGAAGCAATCTTTTTGCATTAGCCAGAGGAACAAGTGATGATAACCCATCACTTGAGATTTCCGACTGTGCAACAGAAGTCGTTGAAGGACTCTCATTTACCACTACCTTCCCCAACTGAGGTTTTGATGTATCTTTTTCCAAACTCTCAGAATGTTGAAATTCCGACTCAATTTCTTCCAACATTGTGCTAAGTTCATAAAGGGATTCTAACTTTGTCAATTCCATATTTCCAAACTCGGTATTTGACTTTTCTTCGGTTCTATCCGTTTTTTCTAGTTGTGAATTTTTATTTACAACACTAATTTCCTCTGGGGCTTGAAGTTTTATATCTTGGTTCCCTTCTTTTGGTCCAAATAAAGATTTTTCTTCTTTCACCATTTTCTCTTCCATTACCTTTTTGGGTAGTTCCCTATAACATGGGAAAAGAGGGTTACATGGTCTAGCTTTATAAAGAAGGGAAAATGCATTACATTAATTATAATAGATTAAGAACCATAGGTAATTTTTACAAATAAAAATATGTTTAATCTTAATCACATTTGTTTTGGAATGTCATTATACACAAACAGAGGTTATATCAAAAACACAATAAAAACCAAAGTAAGGTCTTCAAAAATACACTAATTATTCACAAATCTTTGACTAGTCGTAGATATTGCCAAAACTAGAAATTTGTTTATAAATAAAAATAAATAAATATTTTAAACTCTCTATTGGTAGCATTAATGGTTTTTAAACAACATTTTAGCGCACAATAGGTTGTTGCCTACTATTATAAAAATCATTAATATCTGCAAATATAATGCATATTAAGAAAAACTTTTTGTTTACTGTTTGCGCCACTTGAATTGGGCTTGATACTTTACCAATATTTTTGCTGTGAATTATAAATTATAATCATACCTTTATCTCTACACTAAAAAATCATAAAACTGTATTAATCAGGTGATACAACAACCTACTTACATTTCAATGTTTTCCGTTTGTTTTTCTTCTTTCTTTGAATTTGAAATCACTGATTTTGCATCAGGCCACTTTTGTTTTCTTCTTTCCTTTTTGTCCTCGTGTGAAAAATGCATGAAAATACAACAAACCAAACTAAAGCCATCACACAAGTTCAGCTTTCGATAATGTGAGTAACTGCAGTGAACATGCTTGTATAACTGTATTATAAAAACATTGTGTTTGCTGTTGTTAATAGATCAAGGAATGTTCAATATAATTAGAAGAAAAAAATCTGTCTAGGGGTGATTAGTGTAAAAAAAAGATTTACCTTTGGATCTTAAACATAAACATACACAGTTTAGACCCTTTGATCGCCATGAGACAAATATTGGTTCTTAACAAACGTAACAGCAACATCAGTACACAATATCATAAATACGGGAAATAGCTTAAGGATGTGCCTAACAAGACTGAATTACATATACTCCCAACTCAGCCAACTTAATAAACTTCTTAATATCTGTTAAACTAGCAAGCTAAAAGAGCAATCCCCAGATTTTAATAGGTATATTGACATTAATATGGTTTTTAATGCTATATAAGACAAAAATACATCTAAAATAACTCTCACAGTGAAAGTATCTCCTCGTAGTATGCAGGTGGCCATCATTTTAATTTTTTAAACTAAAATTACTCAAAAATGGCTGTTTTGTGGCTTTTAGAATAAAATAAATGTTTGCGTTTGCAAATATTGCTATGCAATTTCGTAATGCAAATTTTGTACTCTCTACTTAAGTTTTTATATTCCTTGGTTTCACTTTGGCCAACAATGTAATTGAATTGAAATGAATTAATTGAATTGAATTGTACTTAGTTTACAGTCTGTTTTATTGGCTCTCAGTCCTTCAGTTCGCGTCTGACGACCAAGTCTAGCAGACAGAGAGTGTTTTGTTTACGTTATTCGGTTATTCGTTATTATTAGTGAGCTGTGACAAGCAAAATGCAGCATTTTATGCTTTCGCGTACCGTATTTGAATATTGACAATGTGTAGCACGAATATGAAAAAAACCGGTAAGGATAAATAAACAAAAACAAATGACGTCACTGGCCCAATGTCTATACTAATAGCCGTAACAACTGTTTTGGAAGTTTTTTGATGGTTCCATTTCAATTTAAATATTAATAAAAACGTTTTTAACATCAGGCCAGTGACATAATTTTGTTTATGTTTATGACCCATACCATTTCTGTTATAATATTTGTGCTATGTGGGTGCCTATACAATTTTGCTAGCCGGTTAATTTTTATTCACTATAGTGGGGTCGCCAGCTAAATTCTCCTCTTTTTTACAAATTACCATATGACAACCATATATATTTATATTACTGTAGTTGCGTACATACTACTTTGTGAAATAGCATTTATACCTATTTTACGTTAAGATCAGATACCATATAAAACATATCTGGTCACTATTTTTATATTCTTCTAAAAAAGAAACTTCGGCAGACCAAGGTTTAAACTTATTTTTGAAAAGAAGTTCACCTTTTTTAATGCATGCTGAATGACAATTTAAGGAAATAAGTATAAAAAATTATAACTGTTTTAAATGTAATTTGATCTATACAGTACACCTTGCAATATTGAATGTGGCTTCAAAAAAAAGCATTTGTTAAAATATCTGTTAAACTTTTTTTTCAACAATACTAAACCTATAATGTTTGTTTTTTCTTATTTTATTTTTTTTATTTTTTATTTATTCTCTCAACGGTAACACCATTTTTACATTGGAATATACATTAAATAGGATTAATCACTTTATAAACATAGCATAATTGGTAATAAATATGAGCAATAATAAGAATAAAGTAGAAAGCAGACATGAAATGCAAAAGACATTAAGAACAATTCGATTAGTGCTGTAATTATGAATTATTGTATTAAATAAGTATACTAATTTAATTTTGATGCATAATGCAATAAGGTAGATCAATGCAAGAAAACTAACTATAACTATAATTGTTTTTAACTTTAAATCATAAATTGTATATTATGGTGTAGGCTACCTTTATAAGTATTACAGAATGTATCAACGCAACTTACCCTTGATGAATAAGACGGCACTGGGGACGCCTGAAATAAATTTATTTAACACTTCATTTAGTTTGAACATTACTGTATTGTAAATTTTGCTTATAAACAGTAACTTTATTTTTTAATGAAACAGCCTCTCTCATAATTATAAGAACTTTCTAATAACCTTTGGTCTAAGAGAAAAAAGTCTCTCTTATTGTGTTAAGTGAGAAACTTAAGGACAAAATTCTCTATTAGATTCTATTTTTTTTTTCAAAATAAACTTATCACACACTTTTTTAAAAATTTTTATATTTCGGCATTAGCCTTCTTCAGGAACAAACACAATAACAAATAGAAGTGTTTACCACTCTGAATCATATGGTTTTAGCAAAAATCTTTTTTTTTTTTTTTGTTAAAACCATATGATTCAGAGTGGTAAACACGGTATTTACTCAGGGGAGGTACAGAAGAGCCTACGATGACAGCTGTGGACTTCTTATTAGCTGAAGGAACCCCATTACTGTAACAATACGGCCTGTGGCCATCGGCCTCGGTGGTCTAGTGGTCAGCGTACCGCGCCGATATGCAGAAGGTCGCGGGTTCGAATCCCGCTGGTTGCATAGACTTTTTGTCCAAGATTTTTTCATTATCAGCAAGTTTGGTTGGTTTGGTTTGGTTATGACAGTTTAATTTTATTATTAAGTCATTACACAATTTTAATTGAGCAATTTCTAGTTTTATTTAATAAACAGATTATTTTTTATTTCTAAACTTTTGTTATATTATTTCATTATCAGCAAGTTTGGTTAGTTCGGTTAGGTTATGATAGTTAAATTTTATAATTAAAAAATTATAAAATTGAATTTGAGGCTTTTATTATTTTATTTTATGAACAGAACGACAGAACTATTTTTGCGATTAGTAAACCTTCATTGCCAAAGTGCTCTCTACTACAGCGCTGTTCTCGGTGGAATTTTGAACTAATGCCTCATTCGTACCTCCCCTAAGTCAGACCCGGTAAACACTTCTATTTGTTATTGTGTTTGTTCCTGAAGAAGGCTAATGCCGAAATATAGAAATTTTTAAAAAAGTGTGTGATAAGTTTATTTTGAAAATGATTAAGCCGTTTGGCAATATTATGAAGAAAAAACTAAGATTCTAAAAGATTTTTCAATATAGGTTAACACAGTTTCAAGTTTATTCTAGCATTGAATTTGGTAGATAACTATCTATATAATAGACCAGCTGTAGTCAGTATTACCCAAAATGAACATATTTGAAAGAGCCTCCTACATATTGTGATACAGTACAGCCCCTCTAATCTGACTTCATAGGGCCAAGGCTATGGTCTGTACAGTGAAAAGGTCGCATTATCCAAGGAGCATATTAATAATTAAATAACCAAACTAATTGATCACTGACATTTATTGATCACACACGATCGCAGAAAGCTATGATAATGTTTCCATGACTGTGCGATACGTTCAATATTTTGACAGGATTGTGGGAGAATACGATAATGTCTCCTTTACTGCAGGAGATATTCAGGAGTTGGCCGCAGACCACAAACAACGATAGTTCCGGCAATTGGTGGAGACACTCATAATGCCCCTGTGAGTTCAGGAGATATTTAATATTTTGCCGTAATCGCCGAAGACGATGATGTTTTTTCTCTGACCGTGGGATTTGTCTAGGATTTTCCTCGATCGCAAAAACCAATGGCGATGTTTCTGTGATCACGGAAACGATGATGATGTTTCCGTGGTCGCAGGTGGTCAACAAGATTTTTTCTGATTTTTAGGAGACGGTGATAATATCCACACAACGATCACGAAAAGTCACAATTTTACCACGATATCAATGTCACTGATAGGCGATAGCACGGTCAGATCAAGCAGTGGGACTAGACGAGGACAGATTAGTGGGGACTGTGCATATCTTTTCTTTAAGTTTTTCATACAATGATAACTAATGGGGACATCAAAGATGCTACAGCTTGGGATAAGTTTAACTTTAAGTTTGGTATGGTTAAAAGTTGGTAGGCCTATCCAAGAAAAACTCTGTATTTTTCACCAACACACTTTTTCTACTTTCTTCTTAATTGTAGAACTGCGCTACAACTTTAACACAGGATTTAAACGTCTATTTCATTGAATTGTACTATATCTTAAGTCTAAGATTTTATGTTAACCAAATTATCATGCTATCATGCTCGTAAACACTACATTTCAGAACTAGTGGCGTAATATACTACTACAGTATAAGTGCGTCATCTAAACGCCTTGAAGTAGATATTTTTTTATATTCCTATATCACCAAAACAATGATTTAATGTGAGAGGAGTACATACCTGTTGAGCAGTGAACGTAGTATGTATCGTTTGCCCAGTGGACACTTCCTTTGCGTACTCGGGCTCCAAATGTTCCTCCGCATGATGGCAGTGTTCTCTCGTGATTATCTCTGTCCGCAGAGCAGAACACTGTGAGAAATGTTTTGATTTTAATAATTGTAGGGTAAATACAGTAAACATTAACAGTGTTATGATTGTAGTTTACACAACGATTGCTTAAAGATAGTCTTTAAAACACAAGTAGAAAGTTTAAGGTACCTTTAAAAGTTCTACGAGTGTCATTAAGGCTAATTATGTGAGTTGCGTACACTACTTTACCTACAACCGTTTTTTAATTCCTAATAATCCCTACTCATAAGAGAGGTTTTTGTTTATAACCTCTCATTGCCGCTGATTGTGGATAATTTGCCGCTGGCTAGCGGCTATCTTGGATAATTTCAAACATCTGCTGGGGAGTTATTATTGCCAAAAATACTTTTTTTTAAACACCAAAGTAATTGTAATTTGAATATCGAGTGAAATGTGAGATTAGAAATATTATTTGTAGTTTTGAATTGTTCTCCAGGGAAGCTAATGGCCACCTTGGATTTGCCCACCACAAGAGCAATGTTAATATTTTGTAATTTCAAACAGTTAATGCTCCTAATTTGGTTACACATGGATCCCGATAGGTTGTAGTTCAAACGCTTCAACCTTTAGAAATCAAGCACTGTAAACACTAACACTGTAACACAAAAAATAGGTGGTAAATGGTGATTGATTTTGAGTATACTGACTAATTAATTATCACTATACCATTGAAAGGCATTGAGTCTTCAAATAAGCATGAGACTTAAACTCAAAATCAATAATGTTTTCAGAATTAATTAAATTTTTAAAAATTACATGTTTATTGTGCTCCTCCGCAATAGGCCTCACTTCCCTTAGTTCCCGTAAAGCTTGGTTCAGCTCGTCTTCCAAAATCTGATTCTGTCTCTTCAGAGCTTCATCCTGAAATTTATCACAGGTTATTAACAAAATGTAATACTCATTTGAACCCAATGTGTGCGGTTGTTTAAAATTTATTTATATCTGGGAGTGACAATAACAAGTGAAAGCAGACAAGACGACGAAATCCAATGTAGATTAACAGCAGCTCAACGGTGCTATTGGAGTCTAACAAAACTATTTAGAAGTAGACTCCTGACCAGAAGAACTAAAATAAAGATGTATAAAGTAATAATACAACCAGTTCTACTATATGGAGCAGAAGTCTGGACACTTACAAAGCAAAATGAAAAGAAATTGATAGTTTTTGAAAATAAAATCTTACGTAGAGTGTTTGGTCCTATTAATGACAATGGTGAATGGCGGATAAGGAAGAACCAAGAATTAAGAGAACTTTATAATGACCCAGATATCATAGCAATGGTAAAGAGAAGAAGATTACGATGGCTAGGACATGTATATAGAAGAGATGATAACAGTATGATTAAGAAGGTATGGATGGGGCAACCAGAAGGACGACGGCCGCTGGGACGGCCCAGATTAAGATGGAATGACCTTAAGTGAGGCAGGACCTCAGGAGGTTAGGAGCAAGTTTGGAGGCAGCAGAAGATAGGCAGCAGTGGAGGAGCATTGTTGGCGAGGCCAAAAATCACTTGGGATTTGTGTGGCCACAGGAGTAAGTAAGTAAGTATATCTATTGTGAACTAAGCCTACATGTTGGTCAAATTCAACTACTGTATAGTACATTCAGTGAACTATGCTAACTCAAATTTAGTTTGCCTGGGGTATAGTTCGAATTATTGAGATTTTTTTTATAAAATTTCACTTGAATGTTATAGAGGTACATAATTTTTACTTTCTCTCCCATACATAGTATATGGAGAAAGTATAGTTCTCCTCATACTTTTTGAGTTTGAGTTTTGGGTGAAAACATACGTTTTCAAAGTGGTTTTTAAGTGATGTCTGAGTAAGTGTGTGTACAGAGCTACAGAGCATTAGGGTTCAAAAGTTACTGAAATTTTTTTTTATATCACCCATAACCGGTTACGCCCACCGCTCACCCTTCGTTTATTGATACCATTTATTTTTGTCTCTTTGGCTTATAAATTCTTGCTAAAAACTCTTCAAAGTATTTTTTTAATTTATTTAGATTTGTCTTCTAATAATGAATAGTCTACTATTTTTCAACGTCAATGGTAAACTCAAAAGTTACATAAACAAATTACGTACCCCGCCTCGTTCTTGCAACTGCTTCTTAAGCCGTTCATTCTCCCACAGAGCTTGCTCAAGCTGTTTGGTCAGAGCTATGTATCTGTCACTGTCAATCGTCTTCTTAGAATGGACCTGTACAGGCAAAAAATGTGTGACTTTGGGCTTAGCTAACAAGCTGTATAACTGTATAAGCTATATACAGTGATGATTGAAATCTTCCTTTGTCATCTTTTGTCAGATTTAAATTACAAAATCTTTAAGCTCACAACACCTTAGGTGATAAATCCAATCAATGTTGTTGACAAAAAGTATTAACAACACCTTAGTTGGTAACGTTGTTGACAAAAGTATTAAATCCTGGATTTTAAAACTATACAAAATTAAATAACTTGTTTTATTGATTGATACAATAATTTGATGTAGTAGGCTAGGTGATATATTTCTCTAACACTTGGTTGTAATTTTAAATGATCATTAATTCATTAAAATCGTTAATTAAATCTAGAATTTTAACTAATATAATTTGAATTTGCATAAAGACGTTTACAAAGATATTACAAAAAATATATATTCAATAACAAACTATGAAATAATATAAAATTGTTTTAGCATAATAAAAATCGACCAAATAAAACAACCAAACTACTGTGTTCAGCCAGAAAACAGAATAGGCCTACATAGGCTGCAAAATAATTCACATTCATTACAGTTAAGAAACTTATAGACAACATTTTTCTCTGGAATTGGCTAATTTTATTGTTTTTTTTTTTTCAAATGGAAAGAGAGGTACCACCCATCTATACAATCAATAAGATAACGGATCCAACAGACAAATTGAAGAAGGGCAGTTGTAATTAAAAATCTCATTGAATTTAATTAATTTAAGAAACAATGTTTAATTTTTTGTTATAAAGTATCCTTGTAATCCTTACTAGCTAGTTTTACCTTATTTACCCTAATTACTTTTCTGAACAACAAAAAACAAGGATTATTCTCTATTGTCTAATAAATTTAGAATTTGGTTTAAAAGGGTTCCAACGGGTTGGGTTGGTGCTGTAAAATATTTCAAACTGAAAAACCCTGAACTTAAGATATTTTTTTCTAAAAATATAGGCCTAACAATCATTTTTGTTAACAACACTAAAAGTTAATAACCATGACCATAAGCTGGAGTTGGAGGTTAATAACCATTAAATTGTCTATTTTTGTCTGCCATGGCAACAACTACTAGATGTTTTCATACAATTTTAAGGTGACTAAACTAACAAAAGTAAACCTATCAAGATTTAAAACTTATTTAGGGACAAGAAGGAATTAACAATATAGTAACATTCAAACATTGTGTTGACTCAAGATAGGTCCAGCCACAGAAAAGTAAGGTACAGAGGAAACATTCAATGGTACACTTATGTGGTGTCTATCACTAAAGCTGGTGTCTGGGACAAAGTCCAAAACCACCTCCTTGCCATCATATACTACAACGCTCACGGTGGAGGAAGACACTGTGCGATAGGAATTTCCGCACAGTGCTTGGACTCTTCCTTGCTCGTACTAGGTATATTTCCGGCACAACATACCAGAGCTGAAAGCGCACGGTCGTCCCTTAACGTGTTTCCTCTGTACCTTTCTTCTCTGTGGTCCAGCCAATTGCAGAGGTTCTTCAATCTAGCGGTTATCACAAACGATAACAAAATATTTTAGAGTTTATTGTTAGATTTAAATAGGTAATTTAATTGAAAACAAACAGATTTACTGACCATGGTGAAATGTGTGTGGTAACTGGGAATTTATTCTGGGGCGAAAACCATGAATAATACAAACTAATTTTACTTGACTTGCTAATTATTGTTGCCACAGAAACTGATTGGTTTTGTGCTTCTAGACCAAAAACTTGACAAGTAAAAATGTTGTATTCCCCACAAAAAATAAATAAATAATCCATCACTCCAGTAGACTCCCTCTTATCCGGAAACCTTTTAACCGGACATCGGTTTAACTGGACTACACTTGACGGAAACGTCATCTCTTTAACCGGACAATTTTTATCAGCACATGGGTTTGATTTTATTTAATAGCTAAGCATTTTTTAACACATGGCTGAAAACAGAGAGGAAAAAAGTTATGAAGAAAACATTTTTGTGGATTTGACATGAACAAAAAATTGACTACAAAACCATTCAATTTAATCAAAACTTAAGAATTCTCTTTTGATTGTAAGTTGTTGATGTTTCCTGGCTTATTATGAATTAGCGAAAATGCGTATAACTTGTTACAAGGAACTAACAGAATACAAAATTATTTAACAAAAGATATACTGTACTGGTGGATTGAAAATCTATGTAATTAACTTCACTTACATTACTTGTAAGTTGTAATCTTGGTATTTCTAAAGATAAAATTAAAATAAAATTTCAAACTAAATAAAAAGTCTAAACTAAAACAGAATTAAAATGTTTACTGACTTACAGAATCTTCAGAGTGAACTGGAGTTGGTTTGTGCTGAAAACACAATGAAATAACTATGAAGTGGGTTTACAATTGACTTTTTTATTGGTACATTTACAGTTTTTTAGGAGGCAGTAATTACTGTATTTCTTGCAGTTACATTAAATATTGGCCTAAGTGTCAGACACAATATGTCAGTAAATATGTGCCTTAGAATGTTATTGATAAAAATCAGGTTGATAAACATATGTTGCAATACTCAACTTAGTATATAAATATCCAGGAACAATACGTTTTGCATCAAGCATTTAAACAAAAATGCAGACGTTTTTAGTAAGAGAAGCTAATAAAATGAAATTGTGATTCATTCAACTTTTAATGTTAGAATTTCATATAGGGCTGATCTAATGACCCTACATATAATCATCATTGGTCTGCATTTTCGTGAAATCATCACTGCACCACATAAGATTGGCATTTCTAATGTACCTGAAATTTGTTCGTTGACCTACAAGGGACTAACCGTTGCTAAAATATATACCAACCTATGAGCTTGAAAACATAGGATGTAAATGAAAGTTACAAAAAACTTATAAAATAAAATAGGCCTACTCTGGTGTATATCGCAAATAATGTAAAAATGTCATGTTACTATTTTTATGGGGATAATTTACATTTTCTTATCTTATTCAAACTTGTATCAGTAATTAGTTAACTGTACATTACTTACTGTAACTTCCACAGCTTCTTTGAACTGAAAAATAAAACACATTATTTTTTACAATCATTATTTACTAAAAATATTTTTATAGTAAATTGCTAAATCCTAACCGTATTTTTTTTTTTCAAAAATACCTATTGATTTGATAACTTCATTTTAATAAGTCTTAGGTATCAATTATTTGAGATGAGGACGCCACTTAGGTGTGTATTTCAACCCATGAGCAAAGTATGAGTGTAAAATGTTATGAGATTATCTATTTAGCTTTGTTAATGACTAAGATCAGCTGTTTTATCAGTCAGGATGATCAAGGACAGCTGGGTTCGGTTTTGAGCCCATCTAAATATATAATCAAAAATAAAGACTAAATTTTCCCTTGATAAACTGGCTACCTTTTGATTGTTAGACGGGACTGTAACCACTCAGCTACCCAGCCAGTATATCTACTACTACTTAGTAGTAACAATAAAAATTTGTAAATCAAGCAAAAACTTAAAATTAAGGAATTTTAATGCTCTGGGGAGCTATGAAAACAGAATATTGCTTCTCTTTTTGTCGGCTAAATAGAATTAAATATCGCTTGCTTGCCATACAATGGGGACTTAGAAGGCTTAGAACATTTTCTTTTCAGCCTAATATTATGTCCCAAATTTAATTTGATTCTATTCAGAGGATTTGGCATGATTGGACACATTTATAACAGTTGTAAATAGTCAAAACTCCAAATAAATGTTCGAAGGGAGTTTTAGAAAATGAGACATCAAAACCAAGGAACTCTGTGCATCAGATCCCCTTTTATATCCTTTTATTTTTAGAAAAAGATATTTTTGATTTGAAACTTTTTACAAAGTAGTCGCATAAATATTTAAAACAGTTACAGAAAAATGTAAAAATTTATATATTTTAATAGTAGTCAATACTTACACTGACGGTTGAACCTGGAAATTGCGACGACTGTGGAAAAAAGTTAAATTAATTTCAGTGAAAATTTAACAAAACATAAAATGCAAGGAAAGGATAGTATTTTCTTGGCCAAATATCAGTATTTCTTTGGTAAACTAAAAATATTTCTATACTAAAATTCATAATTAAATATATATTGAAATTATAAACAAATTAACATTTCATTACCCACCTTTCACTTTTTTTATTTAATTAATTCACCTAAATCTAAAAATTTTAGTGAGTCAAGTGGTAATTTATGCAATTAAATATTTTTATTTTAGCTATTTTTTGTTTTGTAAGTTTTTCTAATTGATACCAATGTTGATTCACACAATCATATGATGACTCAATTGCTTCCATTGAGAAATTACAATGATTGGTAAAAAAGAGCATATTCATTTCATCATATTCAATGATAAAAATGATTCCAAAAAGCATAAAATACTCAAACGTTTTTATACATTATTGTATCATATTATTATCAATTGAGATGTGGACGCCTAGGTGTGTATTTCAACAAAAATAAGAGTGAAGGATGAGGCCGGCCACACACAGAACCAGGCAAGGCAGGGCGCGACAGGGCACTTTGCCCCGGGGCGTCTTGTGTGACGGGAATTGCACGGGCGCTTATGGAGCTCCACACACAGGACCGGGCGAGGCAGGGCACGTCGAAAAGACGCCCCCAGGCGCCCTCATGGCAAAATGCGAAGGTCTCCAAAATTATGCCCCGAGGCAAGTCGCTGCCGGGCAGAACTTTCTGCGCATGCACAGTCATGTGATTTATTCCCTTACGGGCTAATTTTGATAAGGATTATTTTACAACTGATACAATTTACATACAAGACTGTAACAATTTATACGACCAAAGATTACACCCTTTAATAAGACTATACAGTGATGATGTTACTACAGTGGTTGAATAACTAATAATTTATCTTGGTATTGATAACTGAGGAAAGAGAGGGCCAACGTTCATATCTTAAGGGTTCAAAAACCACTCCTCTGGAGGTATGACTTTGGATTATGTTTTCTATTCTGCTCCCAAGTATAAAGTCAAATTTAAAAGTTGGCTAAATTGGCTCAAGGCTCAGGAATAAAAAATCCTATATTAATTTTCAGGTTTATGGGGGCTAAACTTTTTACTTGACGTGCCCTGCCTCATTCTGTGTGTGACAGCAACAAGACAGGGCTTAAGTCAGGCGTCTCGTCGTGTCCTGTCGCGCCCCGACCCGCCTGGTTCTGTGTGTGGCCGGCCTGAGTGTAGATTGATGTGAGATGATCTGTGTAGCTTTGTTACCGGCTAAGATCAGCTGTTTCATTAGCCAGGATCATTATTTATTAAAAGCCCAATAACCAAGGACAGTTTCAAACCATCAAAAAGCTAATGACTTTTCTCAGGATCGAACTGGCGACCTTTTGGTTACTATGTGAGCACTATAACCACTCAGCTACCCAAATACTATATTAAGACTATAAAGTATTAAGACCTTTATAAAATAGAGAAATAATTTTGTATAATAATAATAGTATTTATTTGTTTGAAATTAATAAATGTATTTATTTGAAGCAATGACTTTTAGTAAAAGATTGAACTTAACATAAGTTTACAAAGAGGAAAAACAAAAACACTTACTTTTGAATTTGTAATAGGTGGATGTTTCCGACACTGAAAAAGAGACAAATATTTTTAATGACGAGAGATTTTATCTAACAGTCCCAAGTTTATTTAAATTTAGATAAGATAGAAAAAATAATCAATATAATATATTAAGATTTTATATTATTTGTAAAAAAATCACCCTTACACTACAATAGTTTTGTAGGCCTTCTTGAGTTTGGAAAATCTCTGGCCCAAAGTTTTTGTACAAAAGGAAGTTTTCTATGTTTGAAATCAACGACCAAAAGGAAACTTTTCAGCTACCTCATTTAAAAGACTTATTTCCTCAACTTAAATACATCTGTTTGTGCAATGTGTTTCCAACTACAGAATATCCACTTACATTATCCATGTGCTCCTCTGCGATCGGCCTCAAAGCATGCAACTCCTGCAATGCTTTTTTCAGCTCTTCCTCCAATCTATGGTTAAGATTTCTCACAGCTTCATCCTGTAATACAAATATAGATTATAATAAACAATATACTGTACCTTACAAAATCGAATAGGGAAGTAGTTTCTCGGCTGAGTATTTATTTTTGGGTTAATTCGGACAACTTTTTAGGGTGTTTACAACTTTTACAAAAAAACTACAAAAAAAAACACAATTTGATTTGTGTGTGTAAATCTTATTAAAATTAAAACAAGAAAAAACAAGAAAAAATAAACATAAATCCTAAAAATGTATTTAAATTTTGCTATGGTCTACAACTATTTTAAAAAGAGGGATGAAATTCACTTGGTTGGTAGTTTGTACATACTGTACTGTAAAAATTTTATACATTATTATTATTGTTATTATTATTATTACAAAAATATATTAAGAATTTATTTTATTTGTAAATATTATTTTAGACTATCTTTTAAGGAACACTTACAGATTCCGAACGATTTGGAGTCGGAGGTGGAGTTTTTTGTCTCTGAAAAATATAACACAAGCTTGTAAGATTCAAACTTTTATGTCCATAGAAAGTCTAAACAAGTGGGCTTAAAAATTATTCCTCAAAATCAAACACAATAATATTTTTTTTCTCTAATGGTTCACTAATGGAATTTTACAGCGGACTTCTTCTCATTCGGACTTGCCAGGACCGAGGCGGGTCCGGAACACAGTTTTTCAGGTAAATCGACATCCCCTAAAACTCATTAAATTAAGGAATGTGTGATGCATACTATACAGGGTGGCTGAAAAGTAACTTGCACCCCCCTTAAATTTTCAAACATTTGAGATATTTGAAATCGGTTTGCGGTATCCGTCTTAGATATGAGAGGCTACAATAATTATGGTAAATTTTGAAAAATTTCTCTTAGGGGTAGCGGGGGTAGGGGGTAGCTCAAAATTTTTTCAAATGGCAAGTATAGTTGAGTTTGGTATCATTTTACCGGAGCACATGAAAAGAGCCCGAAATTTTAATCCCTAAAAAGGTTCACTAATCTTAAGCATGGAAAGAGCCCGGGTCTCCACAGGTATCTGAGGAGGAGGACGCTGAATCATGTTCTGAGATAGTGTTATACTGTTATGTTTGGTTGGGTTAGGTTAGGTTAGGTAAAGAGACTGAGACTATATCTGTTAGTAACGTAAATATCTTTTAATAATATATATTTTAATAATGTATCTTTTAACAGTGTATCTTTTAATATTTTTAATAAATTCATGTATTTCAACTTGGTTCTTTCTCCTTTGAAGACCCGTTGTGGTAGTTCTAGAAGAGCCCGGGCTCTTTTCGCACCGTCCTGGGAGGGACCTTGGAGGTCCGGGCGTTTTTCAAGTGTCTGCCTGAGTTTTGGGGCTCTTTTCATATGCGCCCCATTTTACAGGTCGATCATTTTACCTTTATGTCAATTGTTTTGTTTTTTCAAGACCTATAAAATGATAGCAAACTCGACTATACTTGCCATTTCAAAATGTTGAGCTACCTCTACCCCGCTACCCCTAAGGGCAAAATTTTCAAAATTTACCATAATTATTGTAGCCCCTCATATCTAAGAAGGTTGCCGCAAACCGATTTCGAATATATCAAATTGTTGAAAAGTTAAGGGGGGGGGGGGGGGTGCAAGTTACTTTTCAGCCACCCTGTATAAGCCAATAATGGTGATTACGTAAAATTAGTAAAACTTTACAAACCACCAGATGTCAAGACTTTGAAGCCTAATCTTTTAAATCTTTAACCACAAACAACTATTACAATTTGTAACAACCGGAAGATATAATTTATTGTATTTCCTGGTGACTGACTTCCAAGAAACCTAGGACATCAACATCTGTCCCCCTTCTTATTATTTGTTTGTTTTTGCTACCTCGTTCCCCAACTTGACTATATATTCACATCACATCGGACTTCGGGCCCAAGGCAGCGATGTCGTGGGTTCGGATCCTGGTCACTGCCACTAAAATTTATCAGTACAGTTCACCTTTGTACTGTACCGGCTCACTCCTTGCTTTGCTGTATACGTTCCACGCACGGGTGGTTTGTCTATGTGGACGGGCAATGCAAGGTTAAAAGAGGAGGCCAACCTCTTAAAAAAAAAACCACGGGAATCACTCAAAAACTAACCAAATTTTGTACTTGAATGTGGGAGAGCACTGTATGTAGAAAGCTGATCACTGGTCTAAAACTTTTCCAACAACTAAAATTGCACTTCTGCCGAGAGTAGTCTAGTTAAACCGATACCCCGTTATAAGGTTTCTGGATAAGAGGAGGTTAACTGTAATCTAATCTAATATAAGTAAATAATGTAGTTAGTGTCATTTTTGTTGTTGTATATGGGTCCAAACAGAAGCAAAAAATAATTGTAGGTGCTTTTGGATATTTTTCAAGTTCATCATTAAATGCCTCTATATTATGTTTCACTCATTTCCAAACATTTTCCACTAATCATTAGTTTATTCTGTTAACTTTGAAAATGTATGAGTCAACATAGACCTTTTGATTTGATTAACACGTTCGCTGCTGACCACTAGATGTCAGGACGGCGCCAGGAGCTGAACTAAACGCTTGCCGCTGTGTAATATTGCCACCGATACACTTAATTACAGTAAAAACAACAGAAGTTATACTGGATGGCAATGTTGGCTTTGGTTGGACATAGTACTAAGTGATTCTGATAGATAGCAGCACTACCCAGGTTACAGTTGGTAAAGTAGTGTCGCTATTTAGCAAGAAAGAGGAGGGACAAAGCCCTGTTCAAAAGGCCCCTGGTGGTGATTTTGGGAAACTATATTTTTTATTGTCAGAAAAGTTCCTTCCCCAAAAGATGCAAAGTATAGGGCGCTCGTGACAACCTAGCTGATCCATGGAAACGTTAAACAACAATGAACAGTGTCGTTCCGGAACGTTCCTAGCTCCTGGAGCCGTGGCCCGGCTGACGTTTCGGAACATCTGTAGCAGCGAACGTGTTAAGGAAAACTATCGGATCTTGAACCACTCAGTAATGAAATTATCAAAGGGTTCTGGAAAGTCTTTAGGGTTATTTGAAAACATTTTCAGAGAAAACTAAGATAATTCAACTAAAACTTCATAATAATTCCATTCAGATAATGATAATCGAGTACCTCTAGAAGGGCTTTTAGCTTGGCAGTATCCATCAAAGCTGAAGTCAGCTGCTTACTTAAGTCTTCACAGTTCTCACAGCTCTTACTGGGAACCTCGTCCTGTCAAACACATAAAATAAATCATTTGAAATTACCGCTGGAGCCTTAATATATATAATATTCATTGTTTATACAGGACAATTTTCAATGTCTCGATCATCACACGCCTCTTCAAGAAATTATATATCTTTTCAAATCATATTCCGGAAACATCATATAGCCGAAAGAAAAATTTCTTGTCAATATCGAATATGTGAGTAAATCACCCTTAGGAGGGTTTTGTAAATCACACATTGTTCCATAAGGTTTTGATGCCCTTTTAGGTAGACAATGGATTGAAGACCTAGACTTTAAGTTTAAACAAGTCTTTGATCTATTGAAATTGAAAGCATCAAGCTCAAATGCAAATGTTAAATCAAGCAAGACTCCTGGTAGTATCTTTTAAATATATCAAACCTTTAAATTATTACATCAAACCCGCAAGAAGTCTAAATGAAAACGACCGAGTACAACTTAGATTTTTTAAGAGCTACACAAACGTATAGGAATTCAGTGAAGTTTTTAAGAATATTGGAAAACTACACTATTTTTAATCCTCTTGGAAAGTCTTGGAAAGTGGAAGTCTTATAAAACGCCACATCAACCAACTGCATTCAGAAGTCAACAAGAAAAAGGAGAAATTTGTGTCTTATAGACCAGCACCTCAGATTTTCAATGTTCCATGACCTCAAAAACTTCTTTGTCAACAAAATATAACATAATCTACAAAAAGATGAAGATCTGGATCCTAATAAAGTACTGCAGCGTTCAAACTGTACTACTAATCCACCCAGAAGATTCAACGACTTTGTTACAAAGTAACGAACTTCCCAGATGAGCTTTTCAATTAAAATGGGGAAGAACATTGTATATCCTTATATATAATACTTGAAGGCGATTTCTACAAAACACTACTTCTCCGTTAATAATTGAAGGATTTTTACAAACGAGGTGTCAAAATTAAGTATTTTAAGTGTAGACGCCCCCTTTCACAAATTCCTGTAATGAAAGTCTTCGGGCTTTGCCCCACAGGCCATCAAAATCCCAATGTATTTCTTATGAAGAAAAGATTTTGTTTACTCAAACAGAATATGGTTAATGTTACCTTGCCTAAAATGATCCCGTGTAGTTGTCAAACACGACAGCTGTTTCGTACTACAATGAGCACATCTTCAAAGTGAAGAAACAAAAAATCAACTCATTTAGCCCGCGGTTGAGCACGTCAAAAAACACATAAAGTACATGAAGTTCACACAAAAACACATATTACAAACACTTGGCCAAGTACCGCGAACAAGCGACGCGGAGTCATGACCTACACATTACCGGCGCCGCGTCGCTTGTTCGCGGTACTTGGCCAAGTGTTTGTAATATGTGTTTTTGTGTGAACTTCATGTACTTTATGTGTTTTTTGACGTGCTCAACCGCGGGCTAAATGAGTTGATTTTTTGTTTCTTCACTTTGAAGATGTGCTCATTGTAGCACGAAACAGCTGTCGTGTTTGACAACTACATAGGATCATTCAGGCAAGGTAACATAAACCATATTCTGCTAATGTTAATGATCCAGAGGCTATCCATCATGAAAATACTTAAAAAGACGAATAATTTGTAATAATTACAGCTATTCATAGTAAACACATAAACACAAGAGTGTTCGTTTTCAGAGTGAGTTCGTTTCCAGTTTTGATAACTGGAGTGGAGTGATTGATTACATTATCTTTGAGTTGACTCTTTTAAGTCAATGGAAATTGTGACTGTTATTCGTTAAAAAAAACGCCTTAAATATTTTGCAATTGCTCGAATTCGAGCAACAGGTGCACTAGTATTTCTATAATTCATGTACATGTTTTCCTTACTGTACAGTAATGTCTTTAACAGCTGTTGTATTTATTTACCTGCTGTTAACAATGCTAATGTTCAGTTTCAAGTTCGAATGAAGATTAACAGTTTTATAATACTATGTTCTAATAAATGTTCTTAACTAACCACCAGAGTTTTTATGCAATTACTTCAAGACAAAAATAATCGAGTACCTCTTGAAGGGCTTTTAGCCTGTCAATATCCATCAAAGCTGAAGTCAGCTGTTCATTTAAGTCTGCACATTTCTCGCATTCCTTACTGGGAGCCTTGACCTGTCAAATAGATAAAAAAAATTAATGTGAAATTAATATTTACAATTAGTTGACTAATGGAATGAAATTTAAATTAATTTAGCAGAAACCCAACACTGTTCCAATGTTCTTCATGGGAGCGAGCTGGTCTAGTGGAAGAGCGTGAGGCTTCAGACCGCAAGGATTCAAGTTCAAATCCCGTAAATTGTCAATGTGACACCTGTTTTAGCATGTAAATGAAATGAAATGATTTATAATGGTTTAAATACCTGCATTCAGTAATCCAATATGCTGCTTGTGGCAACTATAGTTTCGGTTCACAGGGAACCATCTTCAGGCCGTACAAGGCGTCGTTATTCACTTCCATATATGAAGGTCGTCATTTAATAAATAAGTACATAGAACACGAACACACGAAAACGCACATTGACACGAACATTTAACATTAAAAATACCGAGTACTCGGGAACACGAGACAGGTGCCGCGACCGGGTGGAAGTTGTAGCTCGAACTGGTGGTCAGTGGTCTAACGGTACGACGTCAGCCATTGTCTCCTTATCACTGCCGGCTCGCATTCATTCCTTCTCTCCTCCTCCCCCATCCAGTATTTTGATTGCGGTGTTATAAATGGAATTCGATTGGAATGAGAAAACATTTTGACCATCTGTTTTGACTGCCTTGTATATTTCAAATTCTTCATAAGTGTTAATGGTTGATCGGTCTTGGGAAAGATGTAAAACATCCATATTACTATTTATGTTTACATAGTTGTGGTTGAGTGAAATTAAATGCTCTGCGAAATTTGAAGTTTGTGGGCCTGTAGTTTTCTTGGGGATATGTTCTCTGAACCTCTTCTTGAAAGAGCGTGAAGTCTGTCCGATGTAATATTTTGGGCAATCTAAACTATAGTTGCCACAAGCAGCATATTGGATTACTGAATGCAGGTATTTAAACCATTATAAATATTCAAACGTAATCCGGAGGCTAACAACTCTTAAAAATGAAATGAAATGATGTTTATTTCCCAACTAAAAAGTACAATTCATGGTATTTTACAGAATAAATTACTTAATCCTTGTCTTAAAAATAACTTACAAAATAATATTATAACTAAATGGCACAAAGAGATAAAAAAAAAAAAAAAATACCTAATCAACTTATATGGAAATGTGTCTACATAGGCAGGGCCTGTGCGTAGACATGAGTTGCGGGTAATTTGTTTAGTGAATGGGAATTTTTTTTGAAGTGATTGTTGCCGAACAATCACTTCAAGTGATGTATATTACAAGTGATATATTGCTTGAAGTGATGTATATTGCCGAACATGATAAAGTCGCAACCCAACAAATAATATGTGCCACGGTTCCATACAACTAACTTCCAGGGATGTGAAGTTAGCACATAAACAATGTAGATTAAATAATGAAGTGTCCAAGTCAACACTGCCATGATTTCTAACAAAGTGACTCCACAAAACGATTAAAGAAAATTTATACAATAGGGAGATTTTCTCACTCTACTCTCTCTCCTGGAGTGTGATCTTTACTAAAACCCCTTGGAACCCAAGTATTGTAGAAATCAGGGCCAATTTTGTAAAAAATTGCACCTTAAAATTTTAGGGTAAATAAATCTTATGACTATGTCCAACTTAGACAAGAAATATTTCCAATCAGAAATGTATAAAATTGAAACGTGGATAAATTGGTTTTATGTTTTATGGTTTGAAATAGCAGGAATTCATAGCTCAAATAGAATTTTGAAGTTCCTTACTGTTCCAAAAGGTTACAGATCTTCAAATGAACACACTTAAAAACACTTATATTAGTACTGTAGAAAGGGGTTTCCAGTCGGGACCACGTAAGTTTGCAGTTGGTGGCAGCCAATCACAAGACAAGGCTAGTGCGACGTTGCCACATCGCCCGTTGACAACACTAATTAAAATATACAAAGCAATATTTTCAAATCAGCTGGCATTATTAGATTTGGCAACACCGCACGGTTCTCATTGGTTCATTCAAAACCATATGGTAAAAAGGCTCCTCCCTCAAATCAAATCAAATCAAATCATGTTTATTAGCACATAACGTACAGAGGTTACAGATAAATGCACAGGTGCTTCGTCATTCTTCTTATAGCCTAATATTATATAATGTCCTTTCTTAAAATGTATTTAGTAATAATAAATAAAATAGTTGTTTAACATTTGAGGAACTCTTTGAATAGACTAGCCAAAAGGTTTAATAAAAAAGATAATGTCAAGCTTAAAACTAAATAACAGGATTTATAGAATTTAATTATAAATAAAACATAAAAAATGTACAAAACATGTAATTTTAGTCAATTAATTGCAAACTTATGTGGTCCCGACTTTAGGTCAAAGATGCATGTCTACAGCACTAACCACAAAATGGATATCGATACATAGTTAATGAATCCTGAGATAATACACAAATAAAACCATAAAGCTTAGTACAAAACTGTTGACTTTAAACAGATAACTTTTTTTATTGTTTGTTTAAAAATATATTCAGTTTCTTTATAGAAATTCAAATTACATGTAATATTTTGTCATTATTTTCCACACAACTAAAATAGCTAATTTCTATAGTCCAAAAAAATATTACAAATTGAAACAACAATTATATTTTTGTCTCCATGACACTCAAGTGAAAAATTTTTACAAGTGCAAGAAATCTTTGGTTTTGCTCAATAATGTATACGACTCGGCTGCTTTTCAAATTATCTCAACGTAATACAAATTTACAGCGATATGCTGTCGTTTGGACACCAACGAGGTAAGATTTTTTTCAAGTTATCAGAAACTAACGCAATTAACCTAAATATTACAGTTATATTTTTAATATCTAGAATGTTACGATGTACAACCGTATGATAATTGCTGAGGGTATAGAGAGATAAAATCACTAATATCAAGCCAGTTTAGGCAGCAAACTACAATAAAGTAGCCTACATTAAGTGTGATGGGAAACTTAAAAATCCAAGATTGACATGAGGACTACAAAATCTTCTTCTTCTTCTTCTTCTTCTAGTTCGCTTTTATGGACCTTTCAACATTGGCAATCAACTTAAAATAACTTTAGTTTGAGCTTAGACATTAAATAACTATATCTTTTAATTTGTTATGTATGTTTCTACAGCAAGTGTTGCTCTCTTTTGGAGTTGATAGCAACTAATTTCGCCATTTTAACTGGACTCAATCGCATTCTTTTCCACATTCCTCTTCACCTTATCCATCCAACTTCTTCTACACATTTCTCTCAGACTCCTTTCAACTCCATTCTCCTTGGAACACCCTCTTCTCACACTCTTCTTACTTGACCAAACATTTTTTCTATTCATCAACTACCCCTCAAATTCTTATCATTTCATTTGATACTCTTGTATTCTTGATAGCTGTTGAAAACCTCTTTTCTCTCTCTTTACTGTTCATTCCATACTATTCCGTAACTATATTGAAATGTCCCTATGTAATTTTTCAGAAATGTGAATTTCCTCCAACGATGCAAGGAATGTCTGAACACAGTTCTGAAAGGCAAGCAGGAGACAATATGTGAGAAGGGACAGCTGACTGAGGAGAATGCGGTAACTTGCATGACTCGTGAGGATGTGAAACCAGCTGTGCCGTTGGTGCCGCTATACAGCGCCAATGTAGTAGTCGTCGGCGCAGGAATGTCAGGACTGACGGCAGCCAATCACCTTCTGGAGAACGGTGTTGGGAATGTCACTGTGCTCGAGGCTCTTGACAGGTAATTTTTGCAACCAAATGATACGCTATTGTCAATTTGTCATTTGTTGGTAATAAATGAACACTCTAAAAAGGCTAAGAGAGGAACCTAGATTACTGGTTAAAGTGTAGAACTCTTTGATCATTTGATGTATAATGTTATAAGTCACGAGAAATCATGAGAATATTTTATAGTAATAAAGAGATTTTCATTTTTATTGGATCATACACTTAAAGCTACACTACTTTACTACTTCAGGTATTTCTGGGGAGCGGGGGGGGGGGGGGGGGGGAAGAAGAAAAAATTACTTCACAAGGGACCATCATAAAAGCTTTCCAAAAGAAAAATAATAAACAAACATAACCAGAAGTTAAAAGATTTGCTTCAAAATTAAAGATCCGTTTGCTTCCGCACATCTGTTTGATCAATATATAATTCATATATTTATAAATATATGTAGATTTTTCACAGCTTTTATTCGGCTAGTTTGATGAGTATTTTACCGTGTTTGGTTCCAGTGATAATATCTTATCCATTATATTTGATTTTTAATAATTAATTGTAATAATTGCAATTGTAATTAATTGTAATAATTAATTTACACTCTAGTTATAATTGACATGCCATCTGTTACATGAGCTATGCTCAAATTTGTAATGTTTTTTTATGGCAAATAAAGAGTTTGAGTTTAATTTCTATAATAACATAAATAGGTTGGATTAATAAATTATTTAGTTTGTCATTTTAGCGTACTGCATAAACAATTTATTTTTTCAGACCTGGAGGTCAAATAAAATCCACTTGGTTCCACGATGCAGTGATTGAACTGGGCTCAGATGTTGCTAAATCCTCAGGGACAAACCCTATAGCCAAAGACATGTTCCTAGATGGTCTGATGACACCTCAACTCAACGGTGCCGACTTCAGCAGAGGACTCCTACTCAAAAGTGACGGCTCCAGCATTCCACACCCAATCAGCCTCCAAGTTTACCAAACCTTTAAACAAATTCTGGCAGAAGCTCATGAAATCGAAGCTGCATCTAGTTTCCAAACCAGAACCAGCATTCCCGAATTCATTGGGAGCAGAATCGATCAGGAAATTGCAATGTTTCCACGGAATCAAATAGTGGAAGCAGAACGACTGTTTCTTGGCTTGGCCAGCTTGTTCTTGGCCAAAAGTAGTCACGACGATAGTTTGAAAGTGTCCAATAAATTCGGTGACTATCTCCAGCTGCCCGGTAGTTGTACCATGGTTCCTCTCGGATTTTTTGCTGAAATCAACACTTTATACGAATCTCTTCCAGAGAATGTTGTTCAATTCAACAAGCCGGTGGTTAAAATCAAATGGGGCGGAGTTTCAGACGTGTTTCCCCGTGCTGTTGTCATCACCGACTCAGGGGAAGAATTCCCAGCTGACTACGTCATTATCACCGTTCCAATCGGAGTACTGAAAGCATACGCCGACTGTCTCTTTTGCCCTGGCCTGCCCGCTGGCAAACTCGATGCCATTATGAAGATTCCGATTGGTCACTCAAACAAGATATTTCTCCAGTTCGAGCAGCCATTCTGGAGGTGGAAGAGAGACATTGAGAAAATGACTTTTGACCCGGAGGAGATGGAATGTCGAGAAGGATGGATGAAAGGGTTAACATCCTTGGAACCGATCCACGGCAGTGACCACATAATGTGCCTCACTGTGTCAGGCCCACAAGCTCAATGTATGGAGTCTCTATCCGACCCAGAGGTCATCTGCGATGTTGTGAAATTCTTGAAGGAAATGTTCTGCAAAGAAGATGTTCCAGACCCGATAAAGATCAAGAGGACGCAGTGGTCAAGTGATCCTCGATTCCTAGGAGCGTTTGCCACCACGGGCCCTGGAGTGGATTCGCAGGACTTTTTCAACCTAGCGACTCCTCTACCTGAACAAACAGACTTCTGCGACCCTGTACTGCTGTTTGCCGGAGCAGCCACGTGCCCGGTGCAGTTCGGAACAGTAGAAGGAGCAAAATCCAGCGGCATCAGAGAAGCGGAAAGATTGATTCAACTGATCAGACTTCAAGAGCAAACTGACAAAGAAGAGCGCTTGAACTACCAGTTGAAATGTTGATTCTAAATTAATATCATGTACTTGTGAGAAATTGTTTATTAAAATGTGTTCATATTTGTAAATTTGTATATACTACATTTACTAATAGGAACCATCATTGATAGGCTATGACCATGTATATTTTGAAACTGGATTCTTTTCTCTAGCAAACTCAGAAAATCTAATCCTTATAAAACAGGTTATTAGGACACAGTAAAGTTAAGTAAAAAGTTACGAAACTTTATGATTAGTGAATAGCGGTTCTCAAAGAATAAGTATTTAAAGTCATTTAATTAACTTACTTCTGTTTGTACAGATTTTGCTGACAGAGAAGCAGCAATTATTGACTTCTCCTTTAGAGCTTCTGCCAATTGCTTCTCAAGCTCACTGATTTGAGCTTTTTTCTTGTCCAACTCTTCTATCTTTTCCTTCAATGCCTTTTCAAACTCAGATTTCTAAACATCATAAACATTGTAAAAACATTTTGTAAACGCTAAATAACTATGCTAGTTTTATTTTTATCATAAGTAACTTCACATCTATACTTATTTAATACGCAAGCAGGTTTTTTGTGACAATTACTCCTCCGAAACTACTGAACCGATTGACATGTTTTTGGTGTCATTGGAAAGAGTTTAACTTGGTGAGTCGGTGGCTCAGTTGGTAGCATCACGGACTTTGGGCCCAAGGCAGAAGTGTTGTGGGTTCGGATCCTGGTCACTGCCACAAACTTTTATCAGTACAGTTCACCTTTGTACTGTACCGGCTCACCCCTTGCTTTGCTGGATACGTTCCACGCACAGATCTGTAGTCTATGTGGACAGGCAAATGCAAGGTTAAAAGAGACCGCAAACCTCAAAAAAAAAAAAAAAAAAAAAAAAAAAAAAAACTTGAAGTTGTGCAGGAAACTTTCATTTTAGGGAAATAATTAGAGAGTTAGGCCCTAGGGCCCTTTAAAGGTTTGTAAGATTAACACGGGAAGCAAAAATTGTTATGAAACTCCAGCTGTTGTCAGAAATTAAATAGTAAAAAATGGTCTCCATGGAAGCATGAGAAAATTCACAATGTTTACCTTTTTGCTTTTACATTTAAATGTAAACAACCAGAACTGTCAAATGCCTATTTCACAATTTCAGACAGCTGATCCAAAAACATAAAATAAAATATTTTACACAACTATGTGGTAGGTTTATTTAATCTTAAACTTTATGATGGATTATTTATTCTAAATCTATTTTAATGATTATGAAACTCATTTTTTCCCGTTGTGAAGCACGACTACAGCAACTAGTAGCTAAATAATCTTTGCTCAGGATTGATGTAATCATTATTAAATTGTGGCCCCAAATGGAATATTAGTAGTATTGAATATTAAATAATAAAATTAGTTAAATGTAAGCACCAATGAGAGAACATTTATATAGTCTGTAGTTAATTTGAGGCTTTAATTATTTTGTAATTTAACAGAAATCTACTAACTCAAATAATCTCATTTAGTCAATTGACGATGAAAATTGACTCACCTGTTCTACTTGAATGGATTTTACTGATTGAGAAGGAGCAATTATTGACTTTTCTTTTTGAGCTTCTGCCAATTGCTTCTCAAGCTCACTGATTTGAGCTTTTTTCTCGTCCAACTCTTCTATCTTTTCTTTCAATGCCTTTTCAAGCTCAGATATCTAAACATAATAAACATTGTAAAATAGTTTTTTTCAAACCTAATTAACAAAGAATGTCCAGGATTGGCAATTATTATTTAATTATGACCCTAAATGGAATATTAGTGGTGTTGAATAATAAAATGGGTTAAATACATTAAGTACCAAGGAGAGAAAATTTATATATAGTCCGTAGTTAATTTGTGACTATTATTATTTTGTAATTGAACACAAATCTACTAACTCAAATAATTTCTCATTAGGTCGATTTACGATCAAATTGAACAAGTAAATTTTGATTCCAGTTGTACTTATAAAAATGTATTGGCCGGTGTTTCTGGTAGCCAATAGGATATAAGTAGGGACGCCATTCAAGATTCTTGTCATTCGCCTATTGGGTCTGATGATGATTGGAGTGTCCAATCGAAATCGATCACCACTTACCATCTTTTGCATATTTACCGTCTTGTGAGTAACAGTATAAGCGTAAATATATGTTTTAAGTGTTATAAGACGTATTTTTATTTACTTTCAGATCGAATTGACTCACCTGTTGTTCTACTTGAATGGATTTTACTGATTGATGAGGCGCAATTATTGACTTTTCTTTTTGAGCTTCTGCCAATTGCTTCTCAAGCTCACTGATTTGAGCTTTTTTCTCGTCCAACTCTTCTATCTTTTCTTTCAATGCCTTTTTAAGCTCAGATATCTAAACATAATAAACATTGTAAAATATATTTTTAAAGCTAAATAACAAATAACTTTGCATACCCAGGGCCGCATACCGTTAAGGGTCAGTGGAGCCCTGGGCAAACACAAAAGCAGCGCCCCCTTTTTTCCTAGTGTGGGCAGGCAGTGGTTGGGGGACACCCGGTGAGCGCCCCCAAACCTCTGGCGCCCCTGGGCATATGCCCAGTCTGCCCGTTTATAAAAGTGGGCCTGTGCATACCTACTAAATAATCTATGTCCAGGATTGGCAATCATTATTGAATTATGACCCTAAATGGAATATTAGTGGTGTTGAATAATAAAATGGGTTAAATACAGCAAGTACCAAGGAGAGAAATTTTATATATAGTCCGTATTGTGACTTCAGTAGACCCCCTCTTAACCGACCCTAATGGGACCGGACCTAGGTCGGATAACTCAAAAGGTCGGATAAAACGGGCAATCCCTAAAATCATAACATAATGAAGTGCTATTCATTTGGAATTATATAATCATTATTTTGAAATCATACTTGCATTATTTATCAAATAAACTACTCTTATCTCCTTTTTCATATTGATAGAAAAGTCACAAATAAACACAAAGCACGGTTAAGTCAAATAGGCCTACTTTCAGTGGAATATATTATAATACTACGCAAGAGTCAATAAAATTCCTATTTTAATAACTTTAGTACTGTAATGTATTAATTGATGCTTTCCAAATACATCGTAATACAGTACAGAACCTTTTGTCGACATTAAAGATACAAGCGACCATTTTGTTACAAGACAGGACGTTTTTATAGCCTCTCACTGGAGGCTCAAGCACAAAAACTATCTTGACCTTGGAGTTGTTAACCCCCCTTCCCTACAAGTTGCATTGTTTGTTTACTCCGGCGATAAGATAATCAGTTCTCAAAATCGTAACGCAGTTTATGATGTTATAAGTTTGCCGCACAGATAACAAATCAGATCAGATGTGCTCGAGCTACGAACGATGATGACAAACTGACAATAGGCTATGCTATATCTTTTGTGATCAACACAAAATAACTTATTGTTAGTCATATCCTGTGGAGATAAGCGTATGGTTCAGTTCTCATCGCCCAGCGTGGGAGGGGAAATGCCGAGATTCCTAGAAAGCGGCGGTTAAACCGAGCTGCTCTCAAAGCAAAGTCGGTTAAAACAAACTGTATTATTTTACGTTCGAAGGCGGATAATCCGATTATCGGTTAATACGAGGTCGGTTAAGAGGGGGTCTACTGTATTATTATTTTGTAATTTAACACAAATCTACTAACTCAAATAATTATATAATATATATAATATAAGCGTAAATATATGTTTTAAGTGTTATAAGACGTATCTTTATTTACTTTCTGATCAAATTGACTCACCTGTTGTTCTACTTGAATGGATTTTACTGATTGATGAGGCGCAATTATTGACTTTTCTTTTTGAGCTTCTGTCAGTTGTTGTTCAAGATCACTGATTTTAGCCTCTTTCTCGTACAGCTCCTCCATCTTTTCTTTCAATGTCTTTTCAAGCTGGTGTATCTTGAAAAATTTTACTTAAGTTGTATTTACTAGAAAAGTTCAACTTGCAAGTTTTACAGTATAACTACTGACATTTTACTGTAAAATGTTAAACACTTCACAGCAACATTTTGGGAGTATCGCCGAACTGAAGGTAAAATACATTGGTTCAATAGAACTCCGGTATTGCTAAGTGTGTAGGCGCTGCTGTAAAGCCGTGTTAGTTGACGGACACGTTACTTGCCTCAGGAAACTAGAAAGACATTAGAGGCAAGTAACCTGTCCCCTAACCTGCCTGCTCTAATGGCCTCGTGTAAACGTAGCTTGGATGTAAAAATTTTAAATGTAGTAGCCGGTACGAATTCTTGACATATTTTCAGACCCTATTGATGTCACAAATTACATATTTTGCGTTGATCCGAAAGTCTCCTGTATGTTTACACCCCTTGACAAGCAATACTTTAAAAGGTTCAAATTGCAGGACTAAGGTATGGTTGTGTGGAAGTTGAGGTAAGTCAGGTTTTTTCATCCAAACTTGAGGTAGGTATGTTACAGTTAAACCTCCTTATCAAACCTAGCACTTTATTAAGCAATGTTTTAGAAAAAGGGTTGAATAACAATTTTGTTGGTACAGTTTGGATCAATCCAGCTATTGAGTCAGAAAATCATCTATAAGCGAATCAACTCAGTCAATCACCCCAGCTAGGCCTAATCAATTCAGATAATCAACTCAGCTAATCAACCTAGCTGATCAACCCAGCCAATCAACTCAGCTAATCGACCAAGCTAATTGACTAACCTAATCAAGTCAGTTAGTAAACTCTCAGCTATAAACCGAACTGATCAAAACGTACCTGGATGGAATGTCCACTAGGCATCTTCATACTCTTCTCGCTCTTAGTTTGAGTCAGCTGGAGTAATTTGTCATTTGTATCCTTCAATGTCTCTTTTTCTTTCTGGAAATTCAGAAATTTTTTAGGTCTACGTTGGCTGACTTACGTAGCTTTGGTTGACTTTTTACATTAGACAAAATACAAGGTAACACCATGACCAATCATTTAATTTATGTTGTGTAAACTTCTATTACAGATTAATAAAACATGATTATATATATATTTGTTTTTTAGGAAACAGTCTTGGTTTAGACTTGATACTGCAGTGGGTCCAAACAGAGACCTTCATATTGGTAGGTGAGTTGGGCCTATATTGTTATTTGTTACTTGTAAGTAAAACATTAGCTTAAGCTTTACAGCTTGTTAAAATAAGAACCGTTACAAAACTAGTATTTGATCTATAATTTAAAATGTTTTCACTCATTCTTGAAACTTCACGAGCTTATCACCAAAAGTGAAATTCAAACCATGACCACTAATATATTAAAATTCATTTTAGTAGCCCCGGAACTGTAATAATGACTAATATTGGTTTTATATTACCTGTCATCAGTTCCAAATTGTAATTTTTGTAATGTTACATGTTTCGGCGAGTACTGAGTCTGTTCCCGGTCGTGTAACGGCAATGTTTTGTACCCATGATAGGCCTATCCAACCAAAAGTATTATTTATTTATGTGTCGTGTGTTAAGTGTCATGTGTGTCAACAACGAAGCTATGCAAGCGGATTTTTTAATGAGCATTCCTGGACTGTATGCTTGACAATGGCAGCTTGCCGAAACATCTAGCATCTACAAAAACTACAATTTGGATCTCACGACAGATAATATAAAACCAATATTGGTCACTAATATATAATGATGTGCAAACTAATGATACTAATACACACTGACCTGTAGGTCTCTGATCTGCTCTTCTAGCGCCCGGATGGTCTCCATATGTGTGGTTCCCCTAGAGGCTTGTGATATTGCAGATCTCGACTTGTTTCTTTCTTTTTCTAACTGTCTCTCCAGGTCATCTGCAACAGATAAAAGTTTAAGATGGAAAATCAAAATGTAACAAACAAAAGCTTATAAAAATATTGAGGGAAATATTGTTGGCACAAACAAATTATCCAGCCGGTACAGTGAGTGAACGAGTGAATGTTACTGAACTAATCAAATTTAGTGGCAGGTACCAAGACCCGAACCCATAACATCAGTAACATCACTATTATGGATCCAAAGGCTACCAACTTAGCTTCCAACAGCATTTGGTTCAGGTTATTTTGAGCTTTTGGTTCAGTGTCTTTACACTATTGATGTAATTTAATTGCTGACACGGTCATGTTACCAAATTTTTGTATTTAATGTCTACTTTCTATTATAATATACAGGGTGATTGATATAAGTGTGCCAGCCGTTTTATTCAAAAACTATAAGAGATATCAAAAAAAGTTAAATGGTAAGTGCCTTGGATTTTTTATTTAAAAAATTGTAGTTAAGTCAAAAAAATTATTTTAGCCGCCATTTTTCCAATATGGTCGCCAACTTTGATTTTTCTTCTAGAACACCCTGTATTTTATGATGTATTCTGGTAGAAAATGTAATTTTAAGATGATTTTATTCTTGTAATTTTTTTCATAAACCTAACCGTTTCAAAGATAATAATGGTTAAAGTTTTGAAATTTCTGCATGAGAAAGAGTTTTGATAAAGGCCTAAGCAAGCATGCCAGCTGTTTTATTCGAAAACCATTCAAAATTTCACAACTTAAACCATTATTATCTTTGAAACGGTTAGGTTTATGAAAAAAATTACAAGAATAAAATCGTCTTAAAATTACATTTTCTACCAGAATACATCATGAAATACAGGATGTTCCATAAGAAAAATCAAAGTTGGCGGCCATATTGGAAAAATGGCGGCTAAAATAATTTGTTTGACTTGACTATAATTTTTTAAATAAAAAATCCAAGGCACTTACCATTTAACATTTTTTTTTATATCTCTTATGGTTTTCGAATAAAACGGCTGGCACACTTATAATCACCCTGTATGTAGCCTATACTTGCAGTTGTTCACTACCCTCATTGCCCAACACTTTCTACATTCCTTTATTTTAAGTGAGTTTCTTGTAATGATACTTATCTCTGAGAATCTTATTAAAATGGAGCAATATTGTATCTAAACTAATCCCTTGACATACACAGAAGTAAGAAACAGAGGATACATTCAGTGGTACACTTAAGAGGTGTCTAGAGCAAATTCTATTCATCATCTCCTTCCGCTCTCCTTTCCCCCCTCGCCATCACGTACTATAGTGCTCACGCTGTAGAAAGGCCCTGTGCGGTACAACTGCTGTACAAATATGCTATGTGGCCGTTCGGGCTCTTTCTTGATCAATACTAGTACATTTCCGCCCCAAAATATAGCTATAGGCGCACGGTTGTCCCATAAGCTTGTATCCTCTGTATCTTACTTCTCTGTGGTACGCAGTAGATCTCAGACAGTGGATTGACCATGACTAAACGTATCACTATATCATAGATAAGATGATTTTTGGTTTGCAAAGTTCGAAAAATGTTGTGTATCACCTTGAAAGAATGCAGAAACCTACTCACCAACTTTGTCCTTGGAGTCTCTGAGCTGTTCTCTTAGTTTCTCAGTTTTCTCTTCCGCACTCTGCAATTTCTCTCTCAGCTCCTCCAGTTCAGCAGCCTGTTTCTCCGCTTGCATTCTCAGTTTTATCAACTCCGTGTTATCCTTCACCTGTCTGGACGTTTCACTCAGTTGTTCGTTCACGCTTGTTCCGCTTTTCGCCGCCTCTTTTTCCAGAGCTGCTAGTTCTTTTTCCAGTTGAGCAAGCCTGGCTTTGTATTTGTTCTTTTGTGTTTCTAGTTGCTGAAATATATGACTTTGAAAATATTGTATCTTAAAAACTGTTAGGAATTGTACTTAGTACATTTTACTGGTGCTAGACTATTATAGAACTTTTTCCTTCATATCTGGTTTATCTATATTACACAAACATGATTTTTTTAATTGGATATCTAGTGGCACTTAGAGTGTATGAATGATGACTTTTAATCCTCTCTTACTTAAAGATGAATTTCTCAATTTGCTCTTTACTTTTTTGATAGGATAACAAAAGAAAACAAATTCCTTACTAAAAAATCTCAAAAAGATTGAGTCAAAGTCATTTTTAAGATAGTATCATTTAAAATACCAAGATTTTTGCCTTTTTGGCATTTTATCAACCCAGGATATATTTTCCAAGTTGCGTTAAATTGGGTTTTAGATCAAATCTTAGCCTATTTATGTACGTCAATTCAATCTACTCACATCTTCTAGTTCGTTGATCCTCATTTTCAAAGCAGCTACATTTCTGTCAGGTTTTGCATCTCGAGCAGATCTGCAAAATACATTCTTCGCTCAAACTTAATGAACTTCAACTTTCTATTGAATACAGTTAATTTAAATAATTTAAACATCATATTCTAGTAGGAATTCAAATTTTAAAAGAAAATATATATTGTAGCAGACCAACCATAGATAGACTGGATTCAAATATGTGTTAAAATATAGACTAGAAAATAAATCATTGATAGATTGGAGAAAATAAAGTACATCTTGTCTTCTGGGGTCCCCAGGACCATTTATTAAAATATCTGTGATCAAGAACAGTAGGTTCAGTTTTGAACTATTAAAAAGGTTTGACTTTTCTCAGGATTAGAATGGAAGGAATGCCTACTTCACACAGGGGCAAAAATAAGGGGGGCAGGGGATCAAGCCGCCCCCCCCCCAAAAAAAAATAATGAATATGAAAAAAATGGTAGGTACCATGATAATCAACAATAAAGAAGCGTGATCTAAGTCGAGTAAAAGTGGCATTGAACACTGGATTTTTATCTTTAAGTAATGACGTGACACTCTAGTAAATGTGAAAATGGTTCCAGGCTAAAACTTCCATCAAACCTTGGAACAGCAAAATAGCTTTACACTAGTGTACTCTACAGTCAATATTTTTATGCTTAGCTACTGATAAACATGGTGCTATGGTACCTCTCAAATATCCCTTTGTATTTTTCACTCGCCTATATGTCTTTGCAATATGTTTTTACCAACTAAACTATTCTAAACTCACTGTGTCTGATTAGGAACGGGGTTGTACTCCAACTCTCTCGGTGTTTTCACTTGAGCTTGCTTCATCTTAGCATCATTGATCCTTCCCTCTTTGCTGTGGATGTAACTGTGATTCATTAACTGTTGTTTCAATACTTTCACCTGAAAGAGATTCATCTTTTCACCAGTGTCACATTTTATGGTAGCAATACTGGTTTAAATCACTTTACACAAAGTACTCTATCCTATTAATTCAGTTCTACCAATTTCTTTTCATAAGAACTTTTTCCTACAAAACAATTAACAGGTAGTCATCGCTTTACAGATCAGATGGGTTCCAGAATCAAAAATTGTAAAGCGTGAACTATAACCCGTGGATTGCTTATGAGGGTCTAAATCAATATTCAATTTTGATTGTCCATTTAATAGAAATTAAGATTTTTACTTTTGTTATGTATGTAAAGTTTAGTAACTTTCCCAAGCTAGGATCCTGACTACTACTTGTGATGGATTTACAGTATTGAGCTCTAATTATAAAAGAATTGAGTTTTGTTCTTAAAGAAAGGCTACAGGCCAGGATTTTGATTTGTAAAAATTCAAAAACATTGTGTGTACAGTCTCTCCTCTGTGTACATTCTATTTGGCCTACACCTAAGCTATCCTCCTTTTTCTAGAATTAAGTTTTTAATAATCTTTTTTATGGGATTGATATAAACAAATCTATAGGCTACTGATATTTTATAATTTAGTGAAACGGTAATACAATTGCATTTCATGCTAAGAAATTTTAACAAGATTAAGCCTTCTGGAGAAATAGATTTGTGAGAGGTTATTCCATTTAAACCTTCAGTACGTTAGTCATAAACACGTTTCTTATTAATTTACAAAACTTGAAATCAACCCACAACTTCTCTTGAGATAAATACTGTGAAGTGGTCAGAGATAAGTATTCTCATAGCTGGACTAAATTTAGAAAGTTCTTAAACCAGTACTAGAGCTATTACAGTACCTTGGCTTGAAGATTTTTGTTTTGCGATTCTAATATCGCGACCTTGTTGCTATCAGCCATTACAGAAGTAGGGGTCAAACCAGATTTCTTGTCCAGCCGGTCTTGTCTTTGTATTGCTGTCTGTAACCTGAGATTTTCAATTGCTTAGAACTTGCATTAAGTAAAAAACAAGCGACTTTGAAAACTTAGTATCAAGAGTTTATTCCTTAACATAGTAGTGTGTTCAAAAACTCATGTCAGAGGCGGTGCCAGGATTTCAATGATTTCATTTGGGGGGGGATTACCACCGGGAGGTCTGGGCGATATGGAATATTCCCCAGAAAAAGCGGGGTACAGGGATCCCCCCCACGGAAAAAATGTGGAATTTAAAGCCTAAAAAAGTTTTTTTACATATTTCAGCTCTAAAATATGCTCTAGCTAATAGTATTTATTTATGTTATGTAATAAAATATAAAATATTTCAGGGGGTATATCCCTCCCATACCCCCCGCCCCTGGAACCGCCACTGCTCATGTTTAACAATATTGTGCATTAGCTAATGTGATGTAAATTACAAAGTATTATTAAGTTATTCTACAAAGTATTTTTAAACTAAGTTTTAAACTATAAACACTTTGAACCAGTAGCCTACTATAACTGTTATATAGTACTGGTTGAATATTATATTATACTGGTGACACCGGTAATCTTCTCCCACAATAGTGGCACTACAATGAGAATGTCTTGAGAATGTCTTGCAGTCTCTGACACTGGTATTCGTCTGCAGTGATTACCGCAACATCGGTGATCAGCTTTTCAGTTAACCAAACACCCTTGGTACTATTGGCTATCAGGTCATAGTAGACAGATGGACACTAGGTCGGATATATATTTTAAAACATATGGAGGTTCTACTGATGTAAATACATTTTTTTATTCTAAATCATAGGAATCCTTTGAAAACTGTGACAATTTTGAAAAAGAATTTAAATCAGTTAATAATCAAATTACCTTTGAATTTGTCGTTCTTGATTTCTATTTTGCTTTTTCAGTTCTAAGTTTTCATCAGCAAAAACTATATATTTGTCTTCCAAATCTCCTCTGTCCATCTTGGAGACCACTGCTTTGTCGATTTGCTGAGCTTTATAGACAAAACAATGTAGGTGTGTTTTATTAAGTTTCCTCGTATGACATCAAACAATATAGGCTAAGATTAAACTCAAAAATAAGCTGGGGTAAATCATAGAATGGCCATGGCATTTATTATATTTACTTTGGTTTTGGATTACCTGATAAAAACTTATTAAATGCAAAGCTTTTACTTTTACTTTTTAGTTTGTACCCCTATAATTTTTAAAGTATTTTTTTCCATAAAATAACTTGTCATTACAGTAGAGTCCCGCAAACTTGCCGTAATGTGGCCTGGAAGGGTGCCGAGTTTGTGAAATGCCGGGTTATTGGGAACTAGGGTTTAAAATAAAAACAATACAATTTTTAATCCTTTTACCTGCCTTCTTTATATACTACAAGTCAGTGTTAAGTCATCAGATATATTACAACAAATCCTTGGTACGAGTTGCGAGTGATTTAACTTAAGCTGGTTTGAGTCCATGTTGAACTCGGACTCAAATATTCACTAATTTTCTGAGCCAGGTGATGGCCGAGTTATCCAGACTGCCGGGTTATCGAGTGCCGAGTTTGTGGGACTCTACTGTACAACATTTTGTAACTCTGATTTTAAAATATCAAGACCTCCTTTGAAGCTTATACTTTTTGGATTTTTACTGTATACAGTCCTGAAGTAAAACCTTTAACAAAGAAGCCTATCAGGGTAGGCTAAATTTACTAAACCTAATTTCCTGGGGAGTTGAGTGGTTATAGTGCTCGCCTTGAAATATAAAGGACACTGATTTAATTACAAGCGAGCTCATTTCTAGACCCAGATGCCATTTGTCATTGGGTTATCACTATACTATTCGAGTATTTGGGTTACCTAAAAGTTACTTTAAGTATTAAAGGTTGGACACACATATATATGTATATGAATTTGAACGGATGGTGTTTTTGGCCTCTAGGGACCTCAAAATGAAAAATTATATCGGTCCCGGGTCCAGGTCTTAACATGAGTATTACCGGTACGGTAATAGCTCATTCCCCATATGAGAAATTCGCTAAAATGAAACAAGGAAAGTCTTACAAGCATATTTATGATAACCCAACCTAACATAACCGCCGCAGCACGCTGTAAAATATGTGGCCACAGTATAATACCAAATTACCCATAAAAGCAACTATGGTTTGATATCATAATAGTTAAGAGAAAATAATCTAAATATAAAACTTTTAAAACGCATTTATATAACATTCTGAGTTAAGCCTAGCATAAGTATGTCAAAAGATACTTACATTAAGTTATCATTATCTACACGTCTACAGTAAACTTTATTAGCCACGTTCAACATACCATTGTCACAATAAGGTGGAAAACATTTTTCATGGTAGGGGGACAGAGACCTTCTACTATTTCCCTCGTCCATCCTGTAAGCAAATGTTAAAAGCAGTATGTAACATATCTAAATTCAAGTCAAGGGGTGGACATAGTCCATAGTTACAGTAACTAAAGTAAGTTAACTTATCTAAAAGTAACGGTAAACTTAGTCTGTACGGTAGCAGGGCCGTACCCATGCTTTGGCAGGCCCCGTTAAAGATATTAGGCCAGGCCTCACCTCCCCTTGAAGTTATAATGTTTGGCGGGCCCTAGTTTATGTTTTCATTGGTTTAAGTAGGCCTACAATTGTAGGGAAAACTCGGTCTGAATACATCCCTGCCTGTGAACTAAAATGTTGACATTCCAGTTCAACTGACAACTTTCTATTCCAACCAAATAAGTTATCATATGCAGTTTAAAATGGATTTTACAAATAAAATGTATAGATTGACCTGTCCAACCCAGAGAGGGGTCCACTGGGGAGATGGAATTTTCCTTTTCTAAAATCGTTAAAATACAGTAACCGTACATTATCCAGAATCTACTAATAATTACATATTGAACACCTTTGTGTGTGTTAGTCAGTTGCTTCAAAGGCATACAATTTTTTTAAGTTTCTTATACCCCCTTCCCACCATGATAAAAACATCATTGTAGGCTAGGCCTAGTTCTAAAAGAATTATTCTAACTTTTAAAATTAGACCTAGTTTGCTAGGCTTATGTAGGTAATTTAACAAAGGACCTAAACTAGTATGATAGTAAAGATTTAAAAACGATATCATAAATGTAAGTTACCCACTTTATCTATTTTAACTTCATTCAAAAACTTACTTGAATTTCGACTAATGTAGAGCTGCAAACAAAAATTTGTATAAATAGTAACAGAGATAAATCATAAAAATTTTCCTTGGGTGGCCTAAAACACTTATACTGAATTTTGATGGAGTTATCTGTTTACATGTAGAGATTTTTTGTTTACTACATGTATAAGTCCTGCCCATCTCTCTTCAACATACTTTTTCATCTTCGTTGCTACAACAAACAAAATAGATCCAGTTGCTAGGGGTTTTTTCATACACCAACCATTGAGCCACTATTAAGCCATTGGTTATAAACATATTGATGGATCTTCAAGAAGAACTGGTATATTAGAATTAGTATAAATTTGAAATAACAACTTCACCAATATTTCTGAATTTTTAATTTTATTTAATAAAAATAAAATTAAAAATTCAGAAATATTGGTGAAGTTGTTATTTCAAATTTATATATTGATGGATGTATAACGTATGTGATGTATGTATGTAATGTATGTAATACCATAGACAAATTCTGTCTATGGTAATACACACACACAAACATTGAGGAACATCCATCAAGATGTCGGAGTAGCAGAATTCTATCCCCGGAAATTTACCCCCATGAACGCCTACGTAATTTTGACGTCACGAGAAGCAGGGCCTATACAGTACATGGTTTATTTATTTATTTTATTTATTTATTTATTTATTTTTTATTTATTTATTTGTTTGTTTGTTTATTTAGTTATTTATTTATTCATTTATTTATTTTTTACGGCAAACACCAATTTTAAAATTTACGGTTGAGAAACTGCCGGCGATTAAAAATATACCACAAATATATTATTAAACAATCAACAATAAATTTCCAAATAATGTTGTAATATTGTTTGCTTGTAAAGTAATTTGCAATACCACGGAATTTTACCCCCGGAAATCTATCCCCAGAAATCTACCTCCTGTGGTCAAATGAGACAAGTCCGTCACCGGAAGTCTACTCCCGTGGTCGGGTACGCTACGTATCAGCAAAGATTCGTGGTTGTTTTAGATAATTTTAATAATTGGTTTGTAAATCAACGTCTCTTCGTTTAACCGATTACCTTCTAGGTAACGATTAATAAATTAAACTACATCCATGAGAATCTTGGTTGATACGTATCGAGGCCGACCAAGGAGGGTAGATTTCCGGGGGTGGAATTCCGGTGTCAGACTTGTCTAATTTGATTATGGAGTGTAGATTTCCGGGGGTAAAATTCCAATGTCCGGTTTATTGGAATTTTGATATGCTGTTAAGTAAACCGTGAAATGTGAGTTGATTGAAATGGGAGGCCTTCTTATTTTATCCGTCCTAAGAGTTCGCCACCAGAAATCCACCCCCAGACCTGTGACGTCAAAATGACGTAGGCATGTTTTCTCGGGAGTAAATTTCCAGGGTAGAATTCCGTGGCCGTGATTCCGGTGACCCTGGATTATACACATCATGTGTTATATGAAAAGTCATAACATTATTAAATAAATATTGGTTTTAAACTGATCACAACCATAGATAAAACATAAAACTTTTCCTTATTATCATAATTGTAAATACATTCAAATTTATTTAAAAAGAATTGACAACTTGCTACACAGTGGTATCTGATGATCTGATCATGGATTAAATGTATATGATCATTGATCAAAATACCTTTATAATTGCATGAGGCAGTTAAATTGTCAATTTCCAATGTGAAATATACCTATATGTTATTTATAGTTTAATATTACGAGTATGGTTTTATCAAGTTAAATTTGAGTATATTAGTGGAAGAACTCACGTTTGAAGCCTCAGCGGTGTACATCGTTAAGCACAAAACAGTGATCGTAAACTTCTACAGACCACCCTCAGGTAATGTTTATTTATTTCTGGATAAACTGCATGATGTCTTCTCAACTATGCATGGTGTGAAACTTGACTTCTTTTGCACAGGTGATTTTAACATAGACTTTCTGTCTGACAGCATTGAAGTCCGGGAACTTAAAAACCTAATATCTAGTTTTGGTCTTCACACTGCAATTAATGAAATCACTAGGCCTAATGTCGCAGCTGGAAGTGTAAACAAAGGTACCTGCTTGGACAATATTGTGACCTCAGTACACCCAGATAGATGGGAAGCCTCAGTTATACACACTCCTGTCTCAGATCATAATGCGGCCTTTCTGTCAATGAACATCGAGTCATATTCTAAATCTAATCCAATTTCTTTACCGAGAAAGGTTACTAGGAAATTAAATCCTCAGAATTCCTTAAAATTCTTATCCAACCTTAGTCAGTTGAATTGGTTTGAATTATATGACCATAGCCTAGACTTAAATGCTAAATTCAAAGTGTTTTTTGACAAACTGTTGTGGGCCTTAAATGGTTCGATTCCCTTGAAAACTACTGTCGGTTTTAACAACAAACCTAACAAAAGGTGGTATCATCAAGGACTTGTAAATATGAAAAATGAGCTGGACCGGCTATATTTTTTGTTTTGTAATGCAGGGACTGCTGAAGTTAAAACTAAGTACAACTCATTAAAGTTGCAGTACCGCAAAGAAATCAAGAAAGCCAAACTTGACCATAACAACAGTTTACTGCTAAACTCTAGTAATATTTCTAAAACATCCTGGTCAATCATTAATGAAATAAGCAACTGTAATAGTAAGCCTTTGTCTATTCCTGACTGCCTAACTGCCGATGGACTGAACTCCTACTTTGTCGACTGTGTTGAAAACCTGAGAAGTAATGTTCCCGCCTCTTCAAATGGTCCTGAGCAATATCTTAGAAATTTGACCTCTTGCAACGCTCTTCCGACTATTGAGGACAACAATGCTTTTAGGATTGGACTATTTACTGTAGAAGAGGTGTATGCAGCCATCAACAGTCTTAACAATAGCTCTTGTTTAGATATTTACGGAATTAATGTCCTCATCTTGAAGTTAGCTTCTAGTTACATAAGTGAAGTTTTGACTTACCTATTTAATCTTTGTATAACACAAGGCTGCTACCCAAACAAGTTCAAGATTTCTAAGGTTATACCAGTCCATAAAAAAGGGCCTAAAAATGTCATTGCTAACTATAGGCCTATATCTATTATCCCTGCAGTGTCGAAGGTCTTGGAACATCTCGTACATCGTAGATTTTCTCAGTATCTTGAGGATAGTAACCTTTTAGCAAGTAGTCAGTTTGGCTTTAGGCCCAAACACAGCACTGTCCAAGCAACCCAGGCACTGATATCAAATTGCTTTCAAAGTTTAGAGGCCAAAAGTGGTATAGTGTTCAGATCGTACGACATGTCTAAGGCCTTTGACACAGTGGCTCATGATCTCCTTGTGAATAAGCTTTCTTGCTATAACCTTGATGATGTTTTGGTTAGGTTTTTTTCAATCTTATCTTAGTGACAGATGGCAAAAAGTCTATCTAAATGGCACTTATTCTAGTCCTGTTCAAGTGCCCCACGGAGTGCCCCAAGGCTCTATATTGGGCCCTACCCTGTTTATACTGTATATAAATGACTTACCTTGTAATATTAATGACTTATCTGTAAAAAGCTTTCTTTTTGCTGATGACTTGGCCTTGTGTGTACGGGGTAACTCTTTGAATGATGTTACAGACACATTGGACACAAAATCTGCTGTTATTAACGACTGGTGTAATGCAAACAAGTTATGTCTTAATGCTGATAAGACTCAGGACCTGACTATTAGTCTAAGCAGTAATGGTAATGATGTAAACACTCTGAAGTTTTTGGGTTTTCATTTGCAGTCAAACTTGAAGTGGTTTTCACATGTAGATTTTGTAGCATCTAAAATTGTAAAAGGCATATTTATGATAAGAGCACTTAGGTCCACTGTTTCAGATGATGTCCTTATTTGTATATATTATGGCCACATTCATAGCTATTTGTCCTATGGTACCTCACTGTGGGCCAACAGTTTTTATGCTAACAGGCTGCTTTTTACTTTACAAAAGAAGGCGGTGAGGTTAATTTGTAGTGTGAATAGAAGAACACATTGTAAGCCCCTTTTCGTGAGTCTTAACATTCTCTCATTTCCATCCTTGTATGTTTTGGCAAGTTTGTTGTATGTAAAAGAAAACATTTCTCACTTTGAAAAGATATCTGATGTTCACAACTATTGTACTAGGATCTAAAGATAATCTGTCTACACTAAGGTATAAGTATACAGCCACTCAAAATAGTTTTGAGTACCAAGGTGTTAAAATGTACAATTTCTTGCCTGCATCCATCAAAAACCTGTGTGTTTCAAAATTTAAACATGTTTTAAAAACTACTCTAACCCAGGCTTGCCTGTATAAACATGAAGAGTACTTTGGTTTAGAGTTTTAGTTTTAGTTGCCATCTTGATTGTTTTCTTTTTCTTTTGACGATTGTCATGAACTTTGTACTCAGTTTTAACGACAATAAAGCATTTCATTTCATTTCATTTCATCATAGATATAACATTATCATAAACATACTCCTCAAGGTTTTATCATAGACTAACTAACACAAGTTTTATGGTTTTATCTATGATATTATGCTTATCCAAGGGAGTATTATTAGGCGCTTATAGCAATATTTTTTCTTATAGTAACTTACTGAGACCAAATCTCATTATGAAAAATTCCTCTATGTATATTTTTCTTCTTTTCATTAAAATCAAAGCTAAGCGTACGTACTGAGAGAGAAGAGGAAAATTATATCCAAAAAATATCCATCCATCATGGACGCCGAATGTCATTTACGGTATATGTTGGGTGTAATGTCGAAGGTATATTTACATTTTATTGGAAATGTGTAAAGCATTTGTTCTGCAGTTTGTGATTTTATTTTATTACTAATGCACGTAAGTGTAACAGTGTCTGTATAGTGATAGTGTGACTTGTTTAATTCATTTTTAAGGGAATGATAGTGGATTGCGTTGAATGGTATCATGTCAATTTAGCGTCATTCTAGTGTCAAACCATGCAATTTTAAGTGAATACCAAAGGCTGTGGCTATAAATTCATAAGAATAGTAAGTTAATTTAAATAATGAAAATATTCAACTTTGAAAGCTAGTAACATTGTCTTACCAATTGCCATCCCTGTAGCCTAGCATATTGCAACAGGTTCCAAGTTAACACGTTCGCTGCGGGCCATCAAACAGCAGGCGTAGCCCCAGTGCGGCGCAGCCCGCAGCGTCGAACAAACCCGATTGCCGGGTGATTGGCTCTCATATTTCGGTATGACGAATAGCAAATAACGTGCGGTGATGTCCTGTTTTATAACAAGAGTCGACGTAGTTCGCTAAACACTCACATATAGCAGCACTGCTTGGAACGTAGCCGGTCCCATCGTATTAACAATTGGAGGGAGAAAGACGGGACAAAAAGTTGATTTTTAAGTTTGCTAGACGGGGATTTTATGGGGAAATTTTACTACCAACCTACAACACAACAAAAAGCAAGTCACCCACTACACGCTAACGTGGAAACATTCTGCAAAGGGTCGTAAACAAACGCACGTGGCGCGCTCGCCCACCCCCATCCCGCCCCCCCCTACTGATAACGCGACAAAAATAGAAACCAAGGTCACCACGGTCATTCAACTGTGTCAACGCAGGTGGCTACAAAGTATTAGTTCGAAATATCAAACGGCTGAGCCACAGAAAAATATTGAATTTCAGGAGGACCCAAGTATCCATATGGATACCGCCGCCTCTACGTGATGGACTCCAGGTATCCATATGGATACCGCCGCACCCAATGTGTTAAATGGCTAAAGAAACAAATAAATTAATAGGCCTAGGCTGATCTACAAACTATTGGTTCGTACTTTTTTCTTCACTAGTTTCTTCTCAATTGCATAGGCCCAAAATTGTGGATGGACTAAGAAGTAATTTTTAACCCTGTCTTAAGTTAAACCTAATTTTGTTCATGTTTGTTCAGTAGGCTAGGTTCTTGAGCTATAGGCTACCTACCTATACCTAGGCCTAATTGACTTGTACACCATCAAAGCAACCCAATGAAACCTTGGCCTTAATCTAATTTATAGGCTCCTAAGTTATAGTGATAGTGTGACTTGTTTAATTCATTTTTAAGGGAATGATAGTGGATTGCGTTTAATGGTATCATGTTAATTTAGCGTCATTCTAGTGTCAAACCATGCAATTTTAAGTGAATACCAAAGGCTGTGGCTATAAATTCATAAGAATAGTAAGTTAATTTAAATAATGAAAATATTCAACTTTGAAAGCTAGTAACATTGTCTTACCAATTGCCATCCCTGTAGCCTAGCATATTGCAACAGGTTCCAAGTTAAATGGCTAAAGAAACAAATAAATTGTAGGCCTAGGCTGATCTACAAACTATTGGTTCGTACTTTTTTCTTCACTAGTTTCTTCTCAATGGCATAGGCCCAAAATTGTGGATGGACTAAGAAGTAATTTTTAACCCTGTCTTAAGTTAAACCTAATTTTGTTCATGTTTGTTCAGTAGGCAGAGGTCCTTAAGCTATACCTACCTATACCTAGGCCTAATTGACTTGTACACCATCAAAGCAACCCAATGAAACCTTGGCCTTAATCTAATTTATAGGCTCCTAAGTTACAGTTCCACGAACGGTACAAGTTTATGTTACATTAATCGCATGAAATAGCCTACAGTTAGTAGGCCTACCGTGACATTAAGTTAACTTAATTTCATTGGCAACTTACTTTCCTGTTCATTTGTAAAAAAACACAAAAATACCCTCGCCGCAGCAAACCTGCAGACTAAGCGAATTTCCATATGTCTGATTGGATTTACACTAAAATGTCTACTTAAAAATTTAACATTTATTTCCTATTTAAATAGAATTATTTTAACAGGTACTTAGGTTTGCTGCATCAGGGAGGGTAAAATTTTTTTTGTAAAATGTTAATAGTTAGTAAGAAATAAAAACATTTTCCAAATTTGATCAAAATATGTTCATAAACAAGCAAACTACAACAGTTTACTCATTCTCCATAAGAATAACATGGGAATTTAAAATTTACATTTTTTTGGAATTTTCTCCGTAACCATTTGGCGCATAGTAACACTTCAATATACTAAATTATTTGTTTTTTTAAGCTCTACAAAATGGTTTGAAAAGATTTTGCAAAATTTTATTTTTTTTTGTCAAAAATGGGAAAAACCTATTTTTACCCCATAAAACCCCCCGTAAACCCCCGTTCCCATAGTCCGATCATGCTGGTTCGCGAACTCGTTCGAGTGTATCCCGCCTTACACCTTCAAACCAAATTTTATCAAAATCGGACAAAAATTACTCAAGTTATCGTGCGGATGGACACATATATATATATATATATATCTATCTATATATATAGATATATAAAAATTTGAACGAATGGTGTTTTTGGCCTCTGGGGACATCAAAATGAAAAAGTAAATCGGTCCCGGGCCTAGGTCTTACCATGAGACCTACGGTAATAGCTACTTCCCTATAGGGAAATTCGCTAAAACAAGACCAGCTTGGAAAATTTTAAGATAGGTCTGCCTATTTACAAGAAATGTTGAGTGTATCAAACTGTTAACTTACATCGTGACTATTTCCACGCAGAGGATACGCGTCCGGTAACCGGACGTGGATTAGGCGTCCGGCAGTTACTGTCATAACCTAACCTATCCAACCAAACTTGCTGATAATGAAAAATACCCCCGCCGCAGCAAACCTGCAGACTAAGCGAATTTCCATTTGACTGATTGGATTTATACTGAAATGTCTACTTAAAAATATAACATTTATTCTTGATTTAAATAGAATTAGTTTAACAAGTACTTAGGTGTGCTGCATCAGGGAGGGTAAAACTGTTTTTTTTTTTTTGTTTTTTTTTTGTAAAATGTGAATAGTTAGTAAGAAATTAAAACATTTTCCAAATTTGATCAAAATATTTCACAAACAAGCAAACTACAACAGTTTACTTATTCTCCATAAGAATAACATAGGAATTTTAAATTTACAATTTTTTTGAATTTTCTCCGTAACCATTAGTCGCATAGTAACGCTTCAATATACTAAATTATTTGTTTTTTAAGCTCTACAAAATGGTTTGGAAAGAAATTGCTAAATTTTATGTTTTTTTGGTCAAAAATGGGAAAAACCTATTTTTACCCCATAAAACCCCCCGTAAACCCCCGTTCCCATGGTCCGATCATGCTGGATCGCGAACTCGCTCGAATAAACGTACGTTTACACGTTTGTACCAAATTTCATCAAAATCGGATCATTTTTGCTCGAGTTATCGTGCTGACGGACACATATATATATATATATATATATATATATGAATTTGAACGGATGGTGTTTTTGGACTCTAGGGACCTCAAAACGAAAAAAAAATTGGTCCCGCGTCCAGGTCTTACCATGAGTACTACGGTAATAGCTTATTCCCTATAGTTTTTTTTTTTTTGTAAAATGTGAATAGTTAGTAGGCCTAAGAAATGAAAACATTTTCCAAATTTGATCAAAATCTTTCACAAACAAGCAAACTACAACAGTTTACTTATTCTCCATAAGAATAACATAGGAATTTTAAATTTACAATTTTTTTGAATTTTCTCCGTAACCATTAGTCGCATAATAACGCTTCAATATACTAAATTATTTGTTTTTTAAGCTCTACAAAATGGTTTGGAAAGAAATTGCTAAATTTTATGTTTTTTGGGTCAAAAATGGGAAAAACCAATTTTTACCCCATAAAACCCCCCGTAAACCCCCGTTCCCATGGTCCGATCATGCTGGATCGCGAACTCGTTCGAATAAACGTACGTTTACACGTTTGTACCAAATTTCATCAAAATCGGATCATTTTTGCTCGAGTTATCGTGCTGACGGACACATATATATATATATATATATATGAATTTGAACGGATGGTGTTTTTGGCCTCTAGGGACCTCAAAACGGAAAAAAAATCGGTCCCGCGTCCAGGTCTTACCATGAGTACTACGGTAATAGCTTATTCCCTATAGTTTTTTTTTTTTTGTAAAATGTGAATAGTTAGTAAAAAATGAAAACATTTTCCAAATTTGATCAAAATATTTCACAAACAAGCAAACTACAACAGTTTACTTATTCTCCATAAGAATAACATAGAAAATTTAAATTTACATTTTTTTTGAATTTTCTCCGTAACCATTAGTCGCATAATAACGCTTCAATATACTAAATTATTTGTTTTTTAAGCTCTACAAAATAGTTTGGAAAGAAATTGCTAAATTTTATGTTTTTTGGGTCAAAAATGGGAAAAACCTATTTTTACCCCATAAAACCCCCCGTAAACCCCCGTTCCCATGGTCCGATTATGCTGGATCGCGAACTCGTTCGAATTAACGTACGTTTACACGTTTGTACCAAATTTCATCAATATCGGATCATTTTTGCTCGAGTTATCATGCTGACGGACACACATATATATATATATATATATATGAATTTGAACGGATGGTGTTTTTGGCCTCTAGGGACCTCAAAACGAAAAAAAAATCGGTCCCGCGTCCAGGTCTTACCATGAGTACTACGGTAATAGCTTATTCCCTATATGGGAAATTCGCTAAAATCAAATGAAGGTTCAATTCTCTTCATAACATAAAATTATAAATGCCAAAAATTCAAACAAAAGATGTACAGTTAAGAAGAAATTACATTCAAAGCAAAATCTGGGGCAAAAAGTTAAAGAAACCGATGGGTTTCGAACCAGGGACCTCTTGGTTATCATACGAGCACTCTATCCACTACACCACGAACAACGCTGGCCGAATACCGTATCGTTGTGGTAATGGCGTTCCGGGACCCCACAACCGGACGCTTAATCCACGTCTGGTTACCGGACGCGTATCCACTGTGATTTCCATAAAATCTTTGAGTCAACTCTTTATAAGTCGTCGGAAATTATGACTGCTACTCGTTTTAAAATAACACCTGTAATACTTTGCAATTGCTCGTTTTGAGCAACAGGTACACTAGTTAAAAAATTACAATAAAAGCAAAATTTATTTAACTAAATAAGTTAGTAGGGCCTATGCGTAGGGAGCGAAATCTGAAACCAGAATGATGAATTCATTCCGGTGAGCAGGTGCCTGCGCGCAGGTTCGAAATCCGGTAGCCACTAACTTACAGCCACTTCCATTTGAAGCAAGTGCCATTCCTGTCGCTGAAAATCAGAATCTTAATCTGAATCTTCGTGCACTCTGGACTTAGGTACCGTTAAGTTAGAGTCAATTTTATTGAATTCCAGCCAATTATTGTGACTAACTTAATATTGCTATTCCCCACTTAAGTTATACTCCAAAAAACATTTTAATTTTGTAGGCTACAATTTTACACTTCAGGAAGTGTGTTTAGTCCAAGGTGGTTCCGGTTTGTATTTTTATATAGGCCTCTAGGAGGTTTTCTGCAGCCTTAAAAATATTTTGAGCCATTTTAAATGGCTTTTTAAAAGCAATGTTTGTAGCAAGGTGGCAGTCCTTCTCCCATAAATTCATACTTAACTTAGTGCAGAGTTATTTAAGTAAGGTAAAAAAATCTGATTAGGCCTAGCCTACCTGTGTTATGAAACTGTTTGGGTAATTTTAGTACCGTAGGCTACCCAAACAGTATGAGTAGGCCTATGGGTATGAGATTGAAATGCGTATGAGGACATTTTAACTTAATGCTTCATCTGAATCTCTAGTCTCCTGTAAATTAATGTTTTTAAAGTCAATTGTTGCTAAACTAATTTTTTAAGGCTAACTTCACTGGTTAAATGGATTGTCGTAAACTTAATTGGTTATACAAAATAGACTAAAAATAAATGTATTAGTACCTATATTTACAATTGTACTCTGTTTTTTTTATGTTATTCTGTAACAAATTATGATAGGATACACTACAGAATGTATTAAACTAAAAACAAAAGTTTTACTATTCAGGCCTAGTCATTTTGCATGATGTTAAGGTAATTATTCATTTTGTACCGTGTTGATTACATTAGTGTTTTAAACATTTGATGTTCCTAGAACATTTTTTTTTTTTTTTATTTAGCTAGTGCATTATGACGTGTTTGTGATTGTTAGTGTTTGTTAGTCTGTAATATTGTCTCATGAATACTAAGAGTATAGTTTATAATTTACATTGGTATCCAGCAAAAGCATTGCAGGGGCTGGGCTTAGGTAAGGTTAGCGGAAGGGGTGGGGGGTTATCATGCTCTTTCCAGCTCGGAAATCCAGTAAAGTTTCTTATTTAGTAGTTGTTAGCTAGGCCAATTTAAGGAGGATAATCTGTTGATCCTTCTATGAGATTACTTAAAAATTAAGTTGTTCATCCTTAAAGAAGATGTTCATGTCCTTGATTTTGGCTACACAGTTAAATGCGACATTTCAATTTCGAATTAGGAGTGTACCAAGTTGCTTAAAGTGCTGCCAGCACAATATGACGTGAATAGGGGTTTTTACAAAATACACACAGAAGATAGGCTAAGTTAGGCCCTTCACAATTTTTACAACTTTTTTTAACACGTTGACTGCGCACGCCGACTATAGTCGGCGTCGCCAGCGCTCCCAGGTGGCGCGCGCCGACTAAAGTCGGCACCAGACCAACAGAAATATATTGAGTCAGTGTGAGCTTAGCCTCAGACGGAGACGTTATAATCGTTGCCAGCCTGCCAGCTTAAAATGCGAGCTTTACTTTGGTGTAGGTTGGTACTAAAATTTCCCGTAAAATCCTGTCTGGCAATGCTTTTGTCCCGGTTTCGGGGATTTTTTCTCTTCAACCCACATTACAAAGACACTGGATACGGATCCATGCAGTGCTGCTACCTTTGGGTGTTTCAGTGAACTACATCCACTCTCGGGGTAACGCAGCACAGTCACCACTGCTCTTTTGTGATTCGTCAGACTGAAATATTTGAATGCCAATTGCGTTCGCTGATTCGGTTGCGCGCCGGGGCTTCGTCCGCCACTGGGGAGCGCCTGTAAAGTCGGCGCGCGCAGTCAACGTGTTAATACAGTAGAACCGTAGAACCCAACCAAAACCCGGGTTAATCGAAACGTTTTCATAAAATAATACAGGGCTAAAATATAAGTAATACTTAGGGTAAAAAGCTTTAGTAACTTCAGTTGTTTAGTTTAAAGTATGTTCTAACCCATTGTAACATTTCTGTAGCTGAAATAAAACACTGTTTTATAGACATTGTTTTAAATTAATTTTTCCTACACACCGTGGTAATACATAGGCTATTATTAGCATATGACGGGTTAACCGAAAAATTGGTTATCCGAAACGGCTCTCCCCCCTTTATTTTGGTTAACAGGGGTTCTACCGTATATTTAAATTTTAAATAATTTGTTAATATAAAACACTTCATGTAGGCTAGCTTGTTATAATACAGAGCAAATTAGATAGATTTTAGAACCTTAAGTTGTGTTCTTTTTTGGTCATGCAATCCTTTAGTTTTGGACGATCTTTGGTAATAATTTCTCTTGGCTCCTCATTAAAAAGTAAATTAACTCATGAATGTACATTAATCATATAAATTTAAATTTACAAAATATATTTTAGTTTACCGTACTTTATTCCACTTACTATTAGGCCGTACTCATGATGACTTGAACTTAGCACAAGGTTTTTGGATAAAAAGTTAGGTCACTCAAACATCAGTTTAAGAAATGTTCAGATTCTATTTGCAGTTAATGTTGTACAAACAAAATAGGCTATGGTTCATTTAGCCTACTCTTAACAACAACATAATGCCATTAAATACCAGATAAAACAACTGTGCATAAAAGACAGTGTTAGGCTAGGCGCACACAAGCGATTATTTTGAGGCGATTATTTCATCGGCCGATCTGTGCATCATGTATTAGAATGGAAGCATGCACACAGGCGATCGAGAACTGCGCTGATTTTAAAATCTGCATTTTGGTGTAGATTTGTAGGTGAGGCGATTGTCGCCCGGAAAGTCCAAGGATAGCTACCCACTCGAAAACTTAAATTTCTCAACTTAAAAATCGCTTGTGTGCGCCTAGATATGAATCAAGGGCGATTTATTTTTGGCAGATTTTTTTATCGGCCGGTCAAAAAATTGACCGTGTGCGCCAGGCCTTAGTAAAAAGTTACTGCAATCGCAATTGGTTCGTCAAAGCTAAATATGTTTGTCTGCCGCAGATATAGGGAGTGATGAGTGAGATGGCTCTGGTGTGATGCAGTCGGACTGTAGCCACTACCTCCATTCAGTGTCTGATTTGTACGCTGCTGACGAAATATCAGTCCTACTGGAGGAGCTACGGGAACTCGAGCCGGCGAGCTATCGCCCGGAGGACCTTCAAGACTTTGAGATCGCAGGCTCCCAAACTGGTAAGACCACCGAGTTCCTCTGGTTAAAAAAATTGTTTTATTTCTGCTCCAAATGGGCATTTTTTTATTTTTAGACTACAGTAGATGTTGAATGGAGAAGGCAATAGGAGAGAGTGATGTTGATATTATTTGTTTATTTCCAACGGTTTTCACTGGTTTAAAAAATGTATACAATATTAGTGTTAATCAAGATGGCTACATGTAAAACAGTTGCTTGGGCGGGTTTTTAGTCGGCCCACTGTTGCTGGTTAGTTCAGTGCTGTCTAGTTAAATTTTAAAACATTCCAAACATGTTCATACTTCAACTTTATTAATAAGATGACAAAGACTACTTGCAGTAGCCATTACTATATCAAGAGTTTGCTAAGGTAGTGTGAGATTGAAACCAAACAAGCTCTTATAATTTGTTAAACTGATTGGCATAGAAATTTGAAAGTCTTTATGCTAGCCTTCCAAACGTGCTTGGTTTTCATGTTGGCTAGTATGCCTACCAATGGCTATCTACCTAAGTGATCGACCAAATGTGAAATTTACCTTTGACTGGTTAAGGTAACCTAAAGTACTCTGACCACTAAGGGTTAACATCTATCAGCTACATTTAGTCTTCATATAATCCCAGAGATATTTTACGTAATGTGACCGTTACAGGAGGAGTGCTTGGTGGAGGTGGGGAGACGCCAGGTGACGTAGGCACTGTGAGGTCATGGGACTCGCACGCAAACTACAAGCAACACCTTCCGGGCTCGTCCCCAACACACTCCATCTTCAGCGGAGTGGTGTTGTACTGCGACGAGACTCACGTCAAAAGCGGCACCGGCATCATACGACTGTTACTGGTCGTGAGTACCTACTTTGTCTTTGTTTTAAAAATATTTATGATGTTTCTTCTGCAGTAATAAACAATAATCTGGCTTTTGTCTTTTTTTATGTCTCACTTTAACATCCCAGATCCTATGGAGGTAGGCTATAGGCCAAAACCGTGTTCTCATTACTTCAGGCTAGACCTTGAGGGTCGCAGCATTATCATTCAGATAAAATCTATTCGTGACTAGCGCAATTTGAACCTTGATTCTCTCTCGAGGACTGAAGTCTTGTGCTCTACCTCTAGCTTGCTCCTGAATCTCGTGATATGCTTATGTGTGTGTGTGTCACTTGCTTATGTTTAATAGTTGAAATTTTACATTATAAATTGTTTACGCTCCTGTATCTGTAACCTTCCCTTACATCTGCAGGGCAAAGAGGCTAGAGTACAGCAATGTATGGAATACAGGATGTACGGTATCAGGAATCATTTAAGTTGATGCCATGTTCATAGTAGTCCAATCCAAAAATATAACATTGTAAATAAAAATCTGTTTTCCAGATATCGTCAATCGCTTGCCTCGCCTGTCTCTGCTCGTCAGGAACAGTGAAGGTTGGCTTGTTCATGCTGCCGCTGATGGGGCGACTGCGACTCATGATGTTTGTCACCATCTTTAGTCTGCTTGTTACCTGCCTCTTCTTATTCCTCGACATATCCCATGTCGTCTACTTGTTTCCATTCAACTGGGGAAAGTTGGTGAGTCTTGGTTCTGTCCTCTCATGCTTTTGATATTAAAAGTAGCAAAGCTCTAGGAAAAATGTGCCTGAAATATTTTGGAAAGGCTTTCGTTTGACAAGCTGCGATGTTGTCTTGATTCCATTTGTACCTGACCAAGAAGTTCTTTACCAACATCCCCATGAATAGGCTATGTAAAAATTACAGGAAAAGCTTGAATTTCTGTTTTGAGTTGGGACGCTGTCAGTACTTAACCAAATTAATTTTAATTTATGATCATTTAGAGTAAACAAATAAGTGTATGAAAGTTTTGGCAAGTGTTGTAGCCTACACTTTCAAAATGTATTAAAAACTTAATTTTTCCTTGCAGCAGCTAACGTAAGTAGGACACTCATTCAGTAAATGTTACCACTACTGGGCGTTGATCTAAGGATACATTTAGCTTTTTTTATGTTTTTTTTAAAACCTGTCTTAGACTACAGGTTTGCTGTGATGGATGTATTACGTGTTTGTGACTGTCACAGATGTAATTTTGAATATAACAATACTTAGTTTTTTGCCGATAAAAAGATTTTGACCAAGGTAGTGTTTGAAGAGTGATTGTGCATCATGGCCGGATTGATTTAGAATACATGGGGTTTTATTTTTTTATTTTAACAAATAGGTACCTACTCAACATTTTCAAAAGTTTTCCAATTTTGTTAGAAATATCTACCAAATATTTCCCCATCTTAAACAATAAGGCTTGTTGATTTTGAATGTTGTTGTGTTTCAGAATGCGTTCTTCTATGTGAGTGTGAGCTTGTTGTATCTGATAAGTTCATCTCTGGTGCTGCATCTGCTTCACACATACTCAGAGACTTACCCCTGGGTGCCAAAGTGGACGAGAGATCAGTTATTCATCACTTCCGTGAGTCAATACGGTCTTGATCTCTTTCCTGCAAACTTAAGAAGTCTAAGTTAATGTGCCTCTGTAGACCTAAAAGTATGACACTTTGACATTGCCTTCAGGTCCAAAAGAATATGAAATCAAATTAAATAAAACTATAATCTTTTACAACAGTGAAAACATCGAGCAATTATAATCCATAAAATATTTTTACACATTAGTTTGAATGAATGTTCTAATTTTGTTATAGCAACCATTCGGTTGTCCCAACACCGAACTGTTACTGTTCCACCCCTATCTGACGTTAAGTTTTGTTATCATAGCCGAATCTTATTGAGAGCTTCCCTTTCAGTATCTCTCGTTCAGTCAAACTGCTATCTGCATACAGAGTTCCCTAAACATTGGCCACTGCCTAAGAAGAGACTGATTAACGACCCTAGCCAACCTACTCCATTTCCAAACATTGTACAATGGTTAATGACCACATCCAAACTCTCTTTAGGTACAATTTCTTATCCCAACATTTTACTCTGTTCCTGTCTGTCAATTGGTGTTGAAGTAAATTAGCAGTTGGTACCTTAAACCGTTTTTAGTTAAATTTTTAAATTAAAAGTTTGTTTAAATCTAATCAGAGTACAAGGTATGTCAGGATACAGATGGGAACAAGCCACTTGGCCGCGGAGACCTTCATTTACAAACAACCTTTGCTATAGATCTGGATTATTTTATGTCTTATTCCTCACAGGCTAACGTGTTGTTTCTCTGTTACAGTGTCTAGGGTACATATGTGCACTAGAGGCCCTCGTGTTGTCGATGCTGACGAGATGTGACGGAGGCCAGTACAGTCCCGTGGACGAGGACCCGAGCACAATGACACTGCAGGAGCGGCCAGTCCCCCCCTCCCCCTCCCACACTTCTCAGCCTCGCCCTCCCTCCTGGCCGGTGGACGACGTGCAGCCGTGCACCAGCAAGCAGTACCACCACTGACCCAACCCTCGCTAAGTCAACACATCTTTTATACTGTGATCTCCAACAGCTAACGTAAATTATCCCTTGCAATGTACTTTTGTGTGCTTGCTAGCTACATTGCTGAACCCAATTGTTGGGAAATATTTATTTTTTACCAATTTAGCTTGTTCTTTGTTCCTTTGTTCCTTTGAATGTCTAGTCCATAATCTTCAATTGATGTTTTGCAAAGGATTTAAAAAAAACACTCAATAATTCAAAATAAATTCAAAAAGAAGGAATATACAGGGTGATTGATATAAGTGTGCCAGCCGTTTTATTCGAAAACCATAAGAGATATCAAAAAAAGTTAAATGGTAAGTGCCTTGGGTTTTTTATTAAAAAAATTATAGTCAAGTCAAAAAAATTATTTTAGCCGCCATTTTTCCAATATGGCCGCCAACTTTGATTTTTCTTATGGAACACCCTGTATTTCATGATGTATTCTGATAGAAAATGTAATTTTAAGACGATTTTATTCTTGTAATTTTTTTCATAAACCTAACCGTTTCAAAGATAATAATGGTTTAAGTTGTGAAATTTTGAATGGTTTTAGAATAAAACAGCTGGCATGCTTGCTTAGGCCTTTATCGAAACTCTTTCTCATGCAGAAATTTCAAAACTTTAACCATTATTATCTTTGAAACGGTTAGGTTTATGAAAAAAATTACAAGAATAAAATCGTCTTAAAATTACATTTTCTACCAGAATACATCATAAAATACAGGGTGTTCCATAAGAAAAATCAAAGTTGGCGGCCATATTGGAAAAATGGCGGCTAAAATAATTTTTTTGACTTGACTACCATTTTTTTAATAAAAAATCCAAGGCACTTACTATTTAACTTTTTTTGATATCTCTTATAGTTTTCGAATAAAACGGCTGGCACACTTATATCAATCACCCTGTATACACAACTATTCCTTCCCAAGAGTTACAGGCAATTCACACCAAAATTTATTCGATCTCGCCTCTCCCGAAAAGGGCGAAACCCTGTAAACTCTTTAGATTGTTTCTTTGAGTATACGAAAATTGACGAATATCTTAAGCATAAATTCAAACCAATTATGTGCTGTCGAGAGAGATTCCAAAATTTCAACACCGAAAAATACTACACCCTCTTTGAGATTTAATCTGAAGAATTTTAGTTAGGTTAGATTGGGATTTTAAAAACTTGCTAAGCTAAGTATTACAATTGTGAAAAGTCAGGTGATTGCTCCCTGCCTTGCTATAGAGTATTATCTTTGACTATTAATACAACTTCTGTATCCAATAGTCAATGGTATTATGCAAACCCTGATGTCCATTTTAAAAACTCATTTATTTTCAGCTGTGGGATCCAGTACAAAAGTTTTTTTTACCTCATCCTTAGACTAGTAGGTAGAGTGGAGCAAAGGAATCGGTTCAGAGCAACGCACAAGATTTGACTAGTCACATCCACACATTTTCACATCGCTTTTAGTATAGAGTAATTATTTTCAGGTTTTAAAATAATATAGGTACCTCATCTACTTTTTTACTTGGGATTGTGAGATAAACATTTAAAGCGTTCTCAAAATGTGATTTTGAAAAACTGTAAACCTTAGCAAACATTACAATTGAAGTTTGTGTTTGGTGAGTTAAAAGTCTTTTTTTGATTACAGTTAATCATATTTCATCTAATATTTTGAAAGGAAATTTTTTCTCGTTTCGGAAACACTAATTAAACAATTCTACTCACCCCAGCAAAAATGTAGGTGAGGTTTACGCAAAGCATAAATCAACAAAAGTGATCATTAATGGTAACTGATAAAGCACCCTTAAGATTGGTTACGTGTCGTATGTACTATAGTACAATTTACAAGATGGCGGTTCATTTTACCATTTACCCTGTAGATAAACGAACTTAGGATATAACGGTGTGAAGATTTTTCTCTATTAGATCTCGGTTTCGTTGTGTGGTTTACATTAGGTTACAGATGTTCTTTAAAGCCTAGTGTACCGTCTTGTGTTGGAGCTCAATTTTGATTAGAACCATGAGTTGTGTTAGGCTAGCGACTAGCAACGTACCTTGACTCCAAATGATGTTTGCCTTACTCCAATGTGTACAGATGTGTGCGGACCTCTGATCGCTGTAAACCTTGTAGAACATCGTGCCTTAATACCTTAGTCTCGTACGGTATTAGTGGATCTATAAGTTCTCAAATAGAATGTGACTTACAAAAATTATTTACAATGTTAAGCCAGCGTTTTTGTATTCAGTATTTTATTTTTATTGATCAATCTAAGAGAGAAACTCGTGAATTTGAATTTGACTAAAAGTTTTGGGTTTGAATTAATACTATTGAGTTTTGTTTTACATATAAAATTATTCCTAAATGTTATCAACAAATTAATAATTCTCTCATTAGGCCTATATATAAAGTTTAAATAAATGTCACTTATAGACAATTTGATTAAAGAATTATTTCAAATTTTTTACCACATCCAGATACTAATTTTGATGCTAATGGGGTGGTTTTTATCTTTCTCAATCAATCCCAAAAAAACTTTAAATATACCCCACAGAGTTATAGTCAAAGAGATCAGGGGTCTGCTACGTATTAACAAATCATTTGTTTCAAAGCCTATACATTTATTAGTGATTGTGGTAAAGAGCATTATATAAAATGCTAGATCTCTTTCTCTAGTCATTTTGACTATTTATATTAGAATTTATACATTATTTTTATTTATTTTTTGTTACCGTATTCCATTAGTGAAAGTAACCTTAGGTTTTCTCTATAGTTCTTTCGAAGCCACTGTATGTTATTGGTATTATTTAGAGAGGATTTATGTGAAGCTTCCAGACTGATGTTACGACTTGTTTTAGAGGTTTAGCTGAATCTCGATTGTATTTTGTATTAGTATTGTGATTTTAGTACAGTTTTAAGTAAGTGTTTAGCGTTTTGTCAATTATCCGTAGGTTTATGTTGTCGGTTTGGGAGCAACTTGTACAGACATATCGTCTTTGTTTACAAAGTCCCGCTTAGTCTAGTGACACCCGGTGTTTCTCCAACTTGCGTCCTAGTCAGAAGGCCTGCATCGCTCCTCTCATGTCAATGTATTAGTCACTTCACTTGTTCGGAAAAACAAATCATATTAGTACCAAAATATGTTACTATCAGTTTTTTTTTATTTCCAATGATTTGTATCCCTTTGTAGCAGTAAGAAAATTGAAAAAATCCTAATGTTGATGACAAAAAACATTCCTGATTTATTTCATTTTATTTGCTAGACATTCAAAGTAAAAAAAAAAATATTCCTCTAGATTTATTGATACTAATCAATTTTAAAATTAATTGCTTTTTTCACGTTTTAACTCTCATAAACTTTTAACTAATGAATCGACTTCACCAAATTTATTCAACTCGAGCACAATTGCATCCATATTACAGTCACAAGTTTCTTTGAGTATTGTTGATAAAGCTGTATATTTTACGGAGAGTAGCAATGCAGGCTTGCGGCCATTTTATCATCACTGCCGAAGGAACACTAATGCCTGTACATACTTGCGACGTCCTGTACATTGTATCTTAGTTATGTATTGCCTAGGCATGTCTAGGAGGTCTAGTGTGTGTCTAAGATGTCCTGTACACTATCAGAATGTCTTGTAGATGTCTAAGAAGTCCTAGGAAGTCCTATACATGCCTGGCATGCTCTTTATACCTCTAGGATGTCGTGTACATACCACCCTGCCGCTTGATAGATATATTTACAGTGTGCTCCACAAAGGTTGGATGAGAGTGTGTTTGTGGTGGTCAGCTTTAAGGAAAGGGTTCAGGTGCTGTCTACTGTTATTGTTCCTTTAGATTCTCGCTTGTTTTTCAGTTTCAGATGATTATATTGTTATGCCGTGGCGTAAAGATGTAAAATGGTAGCGACCGTGTAGGAAAATTCATAGAAAACATTCCGAGACTATCAGTAAATGTGTGTTCGGTTTTGTGAAAATAATTGTAACACTCGAGTTAAACTCGAGTCGTTGTTACACTTTTAAGTGGTAGATGATATTTTTGTATTTACTCTTAATTGTTGAAAAGTAAATGTTACTATTGTACAAATTTACCTATAGCTGATTCCTTGCGTTTGTAGACTATTCAGATTGGAAAGTGTGTTGAAATTACAAGTGAAAAATATTTTACAAAACCATTTTAGGTGAAAAATTGGTAAAATGGTTTTCTTTCAAAGTTTGGTTTTCAGATACTCTAAAGTTGTCTTTGATTACAAAACTGCCACTAAAAGTGAGAAAATTATTTCTTATACAGATACCAATACCATACACATTTAATTTGCATTTTGTCAAATGTTCCAGTTATATTTCTCAGGTATCATTCCTTATATATGTTGAACATAAAATGTGTTATTTTAAGTAAATGTACATTGCTTTTACATACACAGTTGATTGTATATTGTATGTACACATATGTTTTAGCGGAATGTGTTAGTTCTGTTTCAGTTTAGGCTACAGAAGGGTGCAGTGTGAGATTGTCGTGTTCCTAATCAATATCAGTGACTCGGTTTCATTAAATGTAACATAGTTTTGATGTCTTTCGTTGATTGTAGTAGACAGTGGCTTTATCTAGTCTCGTCAGTTTATAATTTATATTGAATAAATATTATTTATATAAATTTACGTTGAATTTCTTGGGTTCTCCTTGCTACATTAGTGTCTGTAACGGTTAAGATATCGAGTATCTTTTATTGGCAGGTTTTATAGTAAGTGTACAAAAAATTAAGACAATTTTGGCGTCAAAACAGAAAGTTATGAAATACTGTCTCCATTTATTTTTGTTGTTTTCCTACTTATTCCAGTCTTATGGAATAAGTGCTTCCAAGAAAGGTTCGTTCTGCCTACTTAATCCATCATGAAATACAACCAATCTCTGGGAAAAGACTTCCATAATCTGGGTTCGAATCTTTTATCACTACAGTAGACTCCCTCTTATCCGGACACCTTTTAACCAGACATCTGCTTAGCTGGACTACACTCGGCGGAAATTACATCTCTTTAACCAGACAATGTTTATAAGCACATCGGTTTAACCGGACTAGATCGGTAGGAAGTGGGCGGTACTGAAACAACTTTTCTCGTGGGAAATATTTGACACCAGTGATCACGTGACTAAATACAATGCCCTCCTAAATTTAAGTTGAATATCACAGTAAACGGTCCGTTTTAACAAGTTTTAGG